GCACAACTGTATATGCTGTGATATCACAAGTCACTGTACCACTTTTCTTGATCAATAAATTCAGAACGTTAGGTGGCTATTTCTGGTTTGTTGTCTTCTTCATAGTCATTCGAAGTTATTACATTTAAAATACCTTGACTTGAATTTCTGATTGGAATGCTGTTATCAAAACTGTTTACTTTTACTGAGGAATACTTCATTGTGATGATATATGTTTACGCCTCTTGTGTGATGGTCCCGGAACTTTCAATTCCTATCATCATTGCCCTATACTCATTTGGGAGACCAGCGATTAAATAGGTCCCTACCCACTCTTCACTGTCTGAAACATAAGGCATTTAACTTACGAGTATTAGAAATAATAGTATATAATTTGCTTATAGCAAAACAAATATATTCAGGTTTTTAACGAAACCCATTGCTTCATTTTGTAAGTATAGATCAGCTAGCAAACACTGATACTCTGATCCGGTCCCCGGCGGAGAGTATGTGATCTGCTATCAGTGTCTGAATTTTACTGTGGAAGATATTTCACTCCAAGGTTGACAGACCATGGTATATTTTCCTTAAATTAGTGAGTACCTGATCGCATCAATCTCTAACTTCCTTCGTCAGGTAGGTAAGTAACACAAATGTCTTTTAGGGAGGAGTTTTTCAATGGTGGTACTAACCAGCCAGAAAACCCTCTCCTGATACTCCCAAATATCCAGAGCTGCTATCCAGATCGGATTGTGCAGCTCTGGAATCGTACATGGGGGCCATCTTCTCGAAAATCCTTCACGACAGCCACAACGACATACTGAATAGATTATAGTTCATTGACCTATGTTGAGGTTCAAGGTGCAAGAGTTCCACTTTACAAGCTGCAATAACCTCTCCATATGAGAGCATCAGTAACACAGCTTTACCTGACAATTCATTAGATTCAGTCACTTCTCGTTTGGATGAATCATCATCCTGATGTATGTTTTGCTTCTGATGCTCAATAATTTGGTGCAAGACTCTGCTCGTGAGGAGCAGATAAGTCGCTTTCTGGCCTCCTAGGTTTGTTAGGAATTGAAGAACTGAGAAGTTCTTGATCTTCATCTGATGTTACAGGTAGGATTCGTTGGTTACTTCGTGGTTCATGAAGGATCCCACAACTAGCTGAGGAAAGGAGGTCCATCAGGATAGATCCTTCTATTACCGTGACAAAGCTCTCTACGACGAGAGGGCCTCTAGTATCTCGAATGTTCCGTTGGTGACATTGAGTTCTTAACCCTCAATCGCTCATCCTTAATTCTTCTCAACCCTCAAGCGTTCAAACTTTCGGCATGGATACACACATCTCTACGAGTAACACCACACCAATTGTCCTGATCTGGGCCCAAAACCCGATAGTGTCTGATCTATGGGAGTATTATTGTACCTGTGGTCCATCTTTTAAAAAATCTTTTACGACAGTTACAATGGCACACTAAATAGATTTCAATTAATTGACCGATGTTGAGATTCTCGGATTTTCAAGAGTCCCACTTTACACAAACCACAACAACCTTTCCATATGAGGGCATCCAGTTACGCGTTTGCCTATCTACTCTCCTGATGCAGATTTTGTTTCTGCTGCTCAAGTATTTGGTGCAAAACTCTGCTCTTGAAGAGCCGATGAGTAGCTTCCTGGCTGCATTACCTAGCCTCCTAGGTTTGTTGAAAGTTGAAGAACTGAGAAGCTCTTTATCTTGGTCCAATGTTAAATGGTAGGACAGTTGGGCCGATCACTCTACATCCGTCTTATCTGTAGACTTAGGGTGTTGGATTATTTGGATACTTCGTGGTTCATACAGGGTCCCACAACTAGCTGGGGAAAGAATGTCCATCAGGGCAGAACCTTCGATTACCGTGACAAAAGTTTCTACAACGAGAAGGTCTCTAGTATCTCGAATGATCCGTTAGTGACATTGAGTTCTTAACCCTCAATCTTTCATAATTTCGACACGGATACTCACACACCAATTATCCAGATCTGGGCCCCAAACCCGATGGTATCTGATCTATAGGAGTATTATTTGGACTGACTAATAGAGACACATTTTATTCAACCAATATCTTCCACATGTGCACCACAAAACATGAACAACACAAAGTTTTGAACTTTAAAATTTATCTGTCGAATCTCGACAGCGATCAAAGTAAAAAGTCATTTATAATTTTCTCATGCTGTAAATACTTAACGAAAGATAATATTTACTTTGTCATATCACTAAGTCATTATAATTAGATAAACATCGATAAAATTCGGCAAACCATTTTTGATGAAACTAATTTCAAACACTTACGTTCACGTGAGATGTGAACCGTAGTCATGTTTCTCAATTCTATGATGTATGATATTTCTTAATGAGAAACACACATAATATTTACAAAGCTCTAGTTACTGGGAAAAACTGGAGTAAACTTGTATTCCATTAACCAAAATAAATCAGTGCGAGTTACGATTCCTTTGCATTGTCTGTAAGAACATGTGATGTCATAAGCATGTTCTTTAAAATCATATAATTTACAATTGCTGGAAAATTTCGTAGAACTCTTGGAAGTTTTTGTTTTTTATTTTCAACATTGTTCCAATAAAAATAAACAGATGTTCAATTTAACTTTCTTTGGCTGCACAGATTATGCTTTTTCACTTTATTTTTGCAAAGTATTATTGTGCCTTTGTTTTGCCAACTTACTAAATCACTTTTGATTTTATTTTATTTCTAGCAATCACTGTTAAATCATTTCATAATCAATAAAAATGAAACAGTAACTGTACATGTAAGATACTGGTTTTTTTTAACAAAATAAGTCCCAAAGCAATTATTTTTAAAATTTTTGCTAGTTCTTGTGTACGTTTGTGCTCGCTATTCTAAAAAATTGCTTGGCCATATTCTCAAAAATTGCTTGGCCAATTCGAGTGAGGTTTTCCCTCCACTTAATATTCAGTGTTAGAATTATTCAAAATGGTTAAAAAAAAGATATGTCAATTTTAAGAAATGTTGGTGAAAATACAGTTGAATTGGCTGAAACTTTGCTCAACTATATTTATAATTTGTTCAAGATTTTCTTGTACATCAAAGATAGACAAATAGATTAGATCATACGATGACATCATACGATGTCTAGTAATTACTAAGACTTTTGCCGAAGTTCTACTATTGTGTAATACGAATATAAAAACATACAAAACGATACCGGTATCTCAAGAAACCTCACTGTGTACAAATATAATAATAATAATAATCGGTTTTGACATCTGATCACAACGAGGTGATCACAACTCTGTCACCAATTGGAACCCGTCCAGCAGAAGGCCCATATAAAAGCCAGAGAGATCACTTCACTCCTGCGGCAACACAAGAATAAGCCAATGCATAGGGTCTTATCAAAGCGCCTGACTTTCTCTTTCCTCAGGTCGAATGGGCTGAAGTCGGAAACTGAGGGTTCCATCATGGCTTGCTAGGATGGTGTCTTCAACACCTTAGTCTACCGCAGTCGCGTATGGGTATAGAGGTTCCTGACACAAAGTGCAGGGCCTGCCGCGAAACACCGGAAACCATAATGTACTTGCTGTTAGCATGTCCAGCATAAGCGGCCTCAGCCTATATCAATCTACATAATGCGGCCCTAAGAGTGCTTTATTACCACCTACGGCACTTTTACGGTATTGACGAGACACCGGTGTTGTCCCACGCTGACACCGGTGTTGCGCCACGCTCCGGTAAATATTGAATCCGTTGTGGAGAACGAGAAGTGTCGACTTTATTGAAACAATCCTTTCCTCACCCTCGAGCTCATACAAGGTAATAAGACTGATGTAGTCCTTCTCGACCATCATAGCAAGATGATATTTATCATGGAGGTTTCAATCCCTGGCGAGACGAATATCCGAAAAGAGGAGGAAATACGGATAAATCATCGAGATTTTTTTCTCTTCGAACTGCGCAGACTCTAACCAGATCACTCCGTCAAGATGGTAGCTTCGATTATTCGACTCCTTGGTGGAATGAAGCCCTTTCTACTCTCGAATCTCGGACTTGCCACACTAAGCCAGAAATCTTAGCCGGACAAATGCAGAAGGCTGTCATCACTAGGCTTGCTTAGGGCTCATGATTCTCAGACCCAATGATCACGTACGGCTCATGATTCTCAGACCCAATGATCACGTACCCCACGATATGGGCTATTGGTTGATAATGCTGGCTAGCCAGCGCAACCTTGGGGATTAAGAAAATTATAACGTCAAAACTATTTCCCGAGTTTGTAGGCAGCGCTCTACAGGTTTTTCGTCTTCTGCTGCTGTGGAAATCATCAAAGGTGATGAGGCAATGGACGAAGTGCTTGCTCCATTTCTTATACAAAACATACTACCAATTGTCTTTACGGAAAGGAAACATCAAAGTTACGACGTTTGGAATTACTCCCCAAGAAGAATATTTGCCGTGAGGACGACTAGCGCCCTTTTTTCGTTGGGTCATCGCATTTGATAATATTTACCGCAGTCGTAGTCGAAACGTCAGTTATCTCCAGCCGTGGAAGTTTATAACTATTCGATTAACATAATGATATCAATAACGATGTACTGAACGATGTACTTAAGTAGAACTTTGAATTTTGAAAAGTCTATACAACATAGTAGATCTGAATGAAGCTAATGAATCCTACAAAGCCATTCCCTCAGCTGATGAAGTTTTTCTATGAGTTTTGTGAAAATATGAGATCTGAAAGGGTTGTTCTTGCTGTATGTCAATTTCACTAGTTTCCACTAGGTGAAAAAACCCGAAAATGGTCGATAAACATCTATTTTGTTCAAAGATCCTGTGTTTATTTTATTATTCGTAAAACTCAAAAAAAAATTGTATATTAAACAACCCATTCCCATTATATGTTTTTCTGTTTTCACTACCTTAACATAATCTGAAATTTCAATCTAGTAAGATTTTTCCTTCCTAAAAAGAATAACACACCTTGTGGTTTTATTTCAGGGTATGGCCTTTACTTTCGAAGAACGTCAGACGCTTGGCATTCACGGACTTTTACCTCCAAAGGTCAAGACACAGGAAGAACAAATATTCCATTGTAAATTGTGTTTGGATAGATTAGACGACAACCTGAACAAGTATTTGTATTTGATGGGCTTACTAGTAAGTGAAAACCAATATGTTCTGTTGGTTATTTCCTTGAAAGCAATACAATATAATTAAATCGAATAATAGTCTGTTGAAACATTTCTACAGCGATAAAACGCCTTTCTTATGAATGGCGATAAAATTGACAGCAATAAAACTGGCAGCTATAAAATTAACATTTATGTGTCATTAATTAAATTGAATACAGGGTGTAACAAAAGTACGTTAAAATATTCAATTGACGTATTCCTGAGACAATTTTAAGAAAAAAGTCTTTATAAACTTGGGTCCAGAAATTCTTTGTTTTCTAGTTACAGGGTTGAAATAAATTCAATTTCAACACCCTATATCTCCGAAACGAAGCATTTCAGGACACAAATTTATATAGACTTTATTTCTTACAATTGTCTCAAGAATACGTCACTACAATATTTTAACGTACTTATGTAACACCCTGTATATATACATTGCAAAAAAACTCATAGCAAATTTTTATTGGAGTGTTTGCCTGAAATTTATAATTTTCTCAAAAAAATATTTGCAGTTTTCGTAATCAGACACAGTTTGTCACAAAAAATATTTATAACGTCAAACATTTTTTTTAATTGCCAGACAGTGGTTTTTAGTAGTCCCATGTATTTAAAATGTTCATTTCACCAAAACTTTTTTCAAAATACTAATAATTTAATGAAAATAAATAAAATGAATGTTTTTTTATGATGTAAATTATGATGGTGGAGAACATTAATAAAGTTTTATTATACCTATATGTTTCTTGGTGTTGGGTTTCTACAAGATTTCAAATGCATTTCAAAAACATTTTTTTCAAGTAATATAACTCAGTTCCAAAAAGTGAATACTTTTTATAAATCATGGTCTTTTTTTCTTCTTCGCCAACTGATGTTTAATGATTCTTACACGATATAGTTGTAATAAGTTTTTGATGTTGTTGAAATTCTACAAATAATGTTATAAAATTATCGTGTTACCATGTCAACGACAAAATTTTCACGTTTTATATGCCATTATACTTGAAATCAATTCAGGAACTGAAATGTTCTGTGATAGGAAAAATATCGCAGAACACTGAATTCAGTAACAGAAAACTTATATTTTTTTAGGACCGTAACGAAAAACTCTTCTACAGTTTAGTACGAAAATATGTCGAAGACATTATGCCTTTGGTGTATACTCCAGTAGTAGGATTAGCCTGTCAAAACTTTGGATTAGTTTACAGGAGGCCCAGAGGCCTTTTTATCACTCTTTACGACAAAGGCCATGTGTATGAAGTTTTGAAAAATTGGTAAGTGTATTATTTGTTTTGATTTTTTTTATAAAAAGCTCTCTCCCATTTTTATTCGCTTTTCCATTCTTTTCAGCGCCACTCTTCCCTAGATCTACCTCTCTCTCACCCCCTTTCCTGCCCTTTCTTTAATTTTTTTTTTTTGTTTTTCGAAACCTCACCGAACTAATATGAATCTTTAACACTTCCAAAAAGTCGCAAAACGTTTTTTAACACTCATTAAAATTATTATTCCAATAAATTCCTATCAAAAATATTGAAAGCGAAATATGTCGCTGGGATATCACTTCAATATGTTCTGTTTATTTAGAGTTGAAGGCTTTTATGATTATATCGTTTATTTTACCAGGAATCAAAATAAGCCTTTCATCTTCAGTGAGATTAAGTTAAATAAATAAATTTTCATGGGTGATTGAAATTGATAAATACTGAAACAATGGAAAACGATAAAATATCTTATTGGATTATTATTTTTCTATAACAGGTGATCTTGAAGTGAGTCAAAATCAGTCTGAGGCGTTTTTTGCATAATTATGATTGTGCATTTGCAGATTGTGTTTATTAGTAATTTGATTATCAGCATGTTGATTTTATGTAATCTATTTAGATTCAGTATCAGCTGTAGAAATTGCTTTGTTGAGTTTTTTCAATGATAAAAATGATTGTACAAACGCTAGATCTACTTTCGATAAAAGTTTCTCAACTCTGAACCAGTTAACCAGACTTCAGATGAGGAATTAAGTAGTATTTTTCAAATATCTTGCGTGTACAAAAAATATATAAACTTTCTAGTAGAAAGTAGTAGTAGTAGTAGAAAGCCAAAAACTTTCTTTCCCAAAAATTAATCACTCCTAAAAATATAACCCCTTCAATTCATGTGAGAACTCTTATGTTTCCTTACGATTCGTCATATGTTCTCTTCCCAATATTTTCATTTGGTGAAAAACAGCATAAGGAGGCATACATATTCCATAAAAATAGTTTTCAAGAGATATTTGAGTTTAATGTATGTCTTCGAATTTTACATTCAAAGAATATTAAACTACTTTTTTGGAATGTCTCTGATAGAGAATTTCAATAACATATTGAAAATGTATTTTCGTGTATTTTTGATAGTGTGTTTCATACATTGCTGAATTTGTTATGGTAATGGTAATGTCCAAAAAATGAAACCTCGTATTAATGCATATCAGATCATAACAAAAATGAAACAACACAAAAATCCTTTGATTCAATTTCATATTATGGAGGCGAATAACTTGAAAACGGCCACTGATATTCGAGAAATGAAAAAAGATTTCAATTGCCCCTCCAAATAGGCAAGTCTAGTCTGATCCAACCAACTCATAACCGTTTCCAAAATAGCAATAGCTGCTAAAAACCGGTCTATATTCGTCTTAACATCCTTCGTTCCAAAATTCTCTCGTTTATCTAGAAATCTAGCCCAATACGAAGGACATTATTCAAATTTTTACAGAAAGTACAAAAAAAAAATTTGAACAAACTTTTTTATTGTTTTTCAAAATATTTGCCTTTAAGATTACAATTCTACACGAGTTCAAATTAATGTTGAAAGAAGTTATTTGCAACATTATTACATTGTTGTTATTTTACAGTTCACAAGTGGTTCACAAGAAAAGAGAAATGCAACTTTCTATGTTTTTTACCACTTTTATTTGTAACTAACGTTACTGCAGTTTCGTCTTATAAGGACATTTTCGAACTTGTATATTATATAAGTTTGAAAATGTCCTTATAGGACGAAACCGCAGTAACGTTAGTAACAAATAAAAGTGGTTAAAACATAGAAAGTTTAATTTCTCTTTTCTTCATTATGATTTCCTAACACGTAGTAACGGCTACATCCATCAATTCATTGATTAATTAATCATCATCTTCATCACGAACGAGTCTCTGTGATCAGCTGTGATGGCGTCATGGCAACAGAATTCAGAGTGGAAACGGAGTGAGAGAGTAATAGATAGAGAAAACGTGAATAGAGAATAGAGGAATAGAAACCCGGAGAGGGAAATATAGGTATCACACAGCTGCACGCATTAAAAACGTCATCGACAAATTTTTGTTATTTCGGCTTGCGAAAATCGTCAGATTATATATTTTTCTTTATTCGTGAATTATATCCTTCAAAATAAAAAAAATTTGCTACGCTCGAGAATGTCGAAATGACGTTATTTTTTTACAACTTTGCTGCCCTCCCCTTTCTTTACGTCACTCTCAAATTGTCAGATTACTGGAATATACACTTTTTAGCAGGTAATTAACTCACTCTACCTTAATCTGACGCGCTCGAGAATTTCTGACGATCATTTTTTTTTACTAATCTGATCCTTTATCCCTTACAGGCGGCCTTATATATGGGGCTCATATTTGGTGGAGGTACTTAACCGGTTACAAGGTATCCCCTTGAATATTAATCTGCCGCGCTTTAGTAAATCCCGAAATCCCCGTTTGGGATCCCCTATTATTAGGCATCAAAATACTAGAAAGTCGTCTAATAGAAACATTCGCGAGTGATTCCTAGTTTTTAATACTTCGCTGTCAAAAAAGAACTGTGTTAAATAATTAGCACCCGCTGATATAGGGTAATAAAGGGCATAACATCATCTAATGGTCGCTAGTAAGTCAATCCTCGTATTTGTGGATTCATGTTTTCTTCTTGGCTGATGTTTTCTAAGTGGTTTTTTATTTTTAGGCCTGAGACAGATGTACGAGTCATAGTAGTAACAGACGGAGAGCGTATTTTGGGACTAGGAGACCAAGGCGCATGTGGTATGGGTATCCCAATTGGCAAACTCTCGCTCTACACCGCACTAGCAGGCATCAAACCGCATCAATGCCTCCCAATCACGATCGATGTCGGAACCAACAACGAAGGTCACCTCAAAGACCCTCTTTACATCGGCCTAAAACAAAACAGAGTCAGAGGACAAGAGTACGACGACTTGATAGACGAATTCATGAGAGCCGTGGTCCAAAGATACGGCCAGAACACGCTCATACAGTTCGAAGACTTCGGGAATGCCAATGCGTTCCGACTGTTGGAGAAGTACCGCAACTCGTACTGCACCTTCAACGACGATATCCAGGGAACTGCCAGCGTGGCTGTGGCTGGACTCCTGGCTTCGTTGAGAATCACCAAGACGAAATTGAGCGACAATGTCCTGGTGTTCCAAGGAGCCGGGGAGGCTAATCTGGGGATTGCGCAGCTCTGCACCATGGCGATGGTGGCGGAAGGTATAAGCGAAGAGAAGGCGAGGCAGAAGATTTGGATGGTGGATTCAAAAGGTTTGTTATTTGAAAGCTTTTTGTACTTTGGATTCATTGATGTTTTACATATCCCTACCATAAAACATAATTAGATAATTATCTATCATTGAAAGATGATTCTCAGTGAATTTTTATATCAGTTTCGTATATTGTTTCAACCATTGTATCAGTAGGGGTGCTAGCTTTTCATTTTTATCGGGCACAAAAGGGCCAATACTGAAATGGGCCCAGTCGATAAAAACTTTATTTTGAAAAAATCATTTGAATGAAAGGAGATGGACATACGCATGTCAAAAGAATTTAAATCTTTTCACAATTTGAGACGGAAGTTTCAAAGTGAATTTTGGGTTCTGATAAAAACATCTGGATTATTTTACGCATTCCTTCAGAAACACTAAAAGGTATCTTTATCTACAAATTGTATATCTAAACAAATATTTGATGGGGTTTGACGTTTTTCATTCTTCTAGGATTGATTGTCAAGGACAGACCTGAAGGTGGAATATCTTCTCACAAAGCACTCTACGCGCATCCTCATGCACCTATTAAAACTCTCACAGAAGTCGTTAAAACCATCAAACCGTCCATCTTAATTGGAGCAGCCGCAGTTGGAGGGGCGTTCACAACAGAGATTTTGGAAGAAATGGGCAGAAATAACAAACGACCAGTTATTTTCGCACTCAGCAACCCCACGAGCAAAGCTGAAAGTACTGCAGAGGAAGCTTATAGAGCAACCAATGTAAGTGGTATACTTGTGTTTCAGTAAATCGTTAACGTCAATTATACGATGATGAATTGAAAATTCTTAGCCTACTGTAGAAGCAAACACAATATGAATGCCAAAGTGTTTATTTATTCAACATACTTCCTTAATTGAAAACATCCATTACGCCTCTATATCCTTAAAAAAAAAGATCTTGCTCTGTAATAGACCTTCACGACCTTTATCACCTCTTCTCTTGAGGAATGGCGTGTATTTCGAACACCCTAAAGTTCGAATTGTTTGAATGTCATCATGCGATTTGTGTACAGGGGTAAACATTGTCCTGCAAAAACAAAATACCTTTGAACAACTTTCCGTGTCTTCTCTCAATCATTTTTTTCTTGTAGAGTGGTGCGAACATCGAATAGTAAGTCCCAGTTACTCTTTGGTGAGAAAGTGTTTGAAGAGATGGTGGTCGGTTGGCGAGAGGTCTGGAGAGTATGGTGGTTGAGGCAGAACTTCAACGCTCAAGTCGTTTAATTTTCCTCACAATCGGACTTTGCTTTGCTGTTGTGGTTTGGTTCGGTTGCAGAAAGTTATAGTGAATCACACCAGCCGCTGCCCACCATACAGAAACCATGGCCTTTTTGGTGGGTTTTCGCCTTTGGTAGTGCCTGGTAGCTCATCGGTATCCAACCACTGTCCATAGCGTCTCCTGTTGTCGTAGAGGATCCACTTTTCATCACACGTGACGTCGTGACGTTCTGATCCAAAAAAGGATCGTTTTGGTTGCGCAAAAGCAAAGAATAGACCTCGAAACGTAACAACTTCTGTCTATCAAAAACCGCATGGAATCTGATGCCCAGTTCTTCCGCCATCCCACGCATCGTTTTTGATCGGTCAATCTCTCCTCCTGGATTACTGTATGTCAGCCACTTCGGGGCTCATCTTCAAGGCTAAGATCTCCAGAACGAAATTTCGCAAACCAACGTCGTTCATTAACGCTATCAATGCCAAATGTCTGGCTAGTTTTTTAGGCTGTTTCGGCAGCTTTTTGGTTCAATTTTAATTCGTAGAGAAAAATGTTCAGTAGCCCATATACAGGGTGTAACTAAATAAGTGTAAAATATTAAAGGTGATTTCTCATCGAAAAAAGATGGGATCTTTCATATAAAGATATTTAATTGGAGCATCCCTTGTTAAGATACAGCCCCTTAAAGGGGGTACATAAAAATTGTATAACAATTTTTTTCACAAGCACTAAAAAAGTTACAATATTGAAATTAATCTGACGTTTTGTACTACCAAAAAGACACTTGAAAAGAAATTCATTTGGTTTACCCCATGGTTGTAATCGGGCAGACTACTATAAATTTCAGTTCCAGTAAAGTATAATGACCCAAAATGTTTTTTATTTGTAGGGTTTCCAAATTATATAGGTATATAGTTTCAGCAATGAAAGTGGTTTCCATTTGGCGGTGAATTTCGAAACCTTGTCTTTGCAATGGACTGATATTTGGGACTCCCGCCTAACATTCATGGCTTAAGTTTTCTGTCTGTCGCATTGATGGCATCTTTCTAAAGGAAGTCATAAACATCACTTTTTACGAAACTATTGTTTCAATGTGCTCTATTAATTTATTTCATCACTTTTTTGTGTTCCAGGGTACAGCTATTTTTGCTAGCGGAAGTCCTTTCGATCCCGTAACTATTAATGGCAAAACCCTCGTTCCTGGACAGGGAAATAATTCGTACATATTCCCTGGTGTTGGTTTGGCCGCTGTTTGTGCAGGAATCAAGAATATTGGGGAGGATCACTTCTTGATAGCCGCAGAAGTGAGTAGAGCCAATACTTTCATTGGAAATCGATTAGAATATATCCCAAACTAATAATTTCATTGAATCATTCTACATTATTGTCATAACCGATTTTATTTAACACATTTTTTTTCTTCATTTCACAGGCATTGTGTGAGTTGGTGACACAAGAAGACTTGGACAAAGGAAGTATTTACCCTCCTCTATCTGAAATCCTGAACTGTTCTGTGAAAATAGCTGTGAAGATAATCGAATATGCTTATAAGAAAGGTAATGTAGTCGAAATCAAGTAACAGAATGAAGTGTCAGAAGATCTTACTGCTACTAAACAGCGTGTCCAAAATGAGTATGGTAAATTCGTCAAACATAAAAGGCACAAAGTCACTTACATAACGGAAAAGTTGTTCATTTCGAAGTTTTATAAGACAGACTTTTATGGCCGAAGTTATGATCAAAGAAAACAAAATCTGGACTGGTAGACCATGGTAGAATAGAACCTAAAGTACCAAACATTTCGCCTGCTACTTCTGCGATGGCGAAGACTATACCTCGAAGTCTCACGACTGACTGGCGAGCTACCTATGCACTCGTATTTATATTCTAGAGAATGGAGGGGGTAACGATGGGGCTGATAAAGGGGTGACGTCAGTCATGAAAATACTCATTTCTGATTGGTCCGTCTTTTGATGGGTAGTTCTACAGTGGGGTCCAATCAGAACGACCCAGAAAAAGTACGGACCAATCCGAAAACAACATTTTCATGGACACCCCGCCATCGTCCCCAGCATCAGTGCCTTCACCATCTCCACCACTCTCTGAAATTTTAAATACGAGTGAACATGTAGCTTGCCAGTCAGTCCTTGCTGAGACTTCGGGATATAATCTTCGTTCTCGCAGTTAACGCTCATACCACTGGTGTCTGCCACTGTAGCAGAAGAGACGTTTTATATTTCAGGTTCCATATGACTGTGGCCTTCAAGTGACGCTTCAAAATTCAGTAAATTTCATTTACGTGTGGTATATCAGTGCAATTTTCGCCAAAATATCTAACTTGTAATGAGAATCTCGTTTTGTTGGTCCATATAAATATATAAAATTGGTCATGGTTTCTCGGATATGAAATCTGTAAACAGCATTCGTTTGAAGGTGGGCTTGAAGAAGCCCACAAGAAACCTCGAGTCTGGTTGAGATATGTTGACGACACCTTCATAATATGGAACCACGGGAATACTGAACTAGACGCCTTTCTGAAACACATCAACAGCGTGAGACCTTCCATCACTCTCACAATGGAGAAGGAAATCCACAATGAATTGCCATTCTTAAAATTTTTATTTATTCAATTATTATATTTTTACTTGTAGGTTACTTCACTATCATTTCATTTCAGGTTTATTGTTGCTTAATATAATTGTTATTTTCAACTATTCTTTTTTAATTATTCTTTTTTACTTGTTTAAGGGATTTCAAATCATTTTATATAGTAGACAATGGAAGTCCGAACTAGTGAAATTCATCTGTAAACAGCATCTTGTACAGCTTAAAAAATGGCAATGAGAATATATTTTTGGTTTCTTTATTCACAAAAGTAAACAAAGCTGTTGAATTTAGATTAATTTTGAATACCTCCTGAACTTATAAAAAAACTGAATTTTGAAACGTCATTCAAATAGGCTATGAAATGAGCAACTTTTTTCTAATTCAACTGATGCACTGTTTGAAACCTTTGGTGTAGTAATTAATATCACTGGAGTTTTTTCCCAACACCAAACCGTTATTTCAACACTTCAACACGTGTTTCGATCACCAAGTGATCATCGTTTAATCTTCCTCTTGGAGATGATCACATGGTGATCGAAACACGTGTTGAGGTGTTAAAATAACGGTTTGGTGTTGGGAAAAAACTCCAGTAACATTAATTTAACCGACTTCTCTCCGTATTTCTCTTGTTGGTCATCCTATCTTGGACAGTCAGTATATAATTAAAATTGGTGAACAATTATCAACATCATTATTCTTTTTTTTTAGGAAATGCTTCTGTATTTCCCGAACCAGAAGACAAGGAAGCTTTTGTTAAAGCTCAAATGTACAACACAGACTACCAACCAGCTTTACCTTCCACTTACCCATTTCCAAAGTTGTAAAACAATTTGTCAATCATTCGTTTGTGTGTGATCTCAAAATTGAATATTGAGTGTAATGTTTTGTTGACCAAATATGTATATTGGAGATCAGTGTATTTAATTTTCCATAGTAGACGGTACAGTTAGCTGTTACCTATTATTTATTCAGATGTATTGTGATAGTTTGCAAATTTATATATTTTATTTGGTTACATTAAAAAAAATAAAATTATTTCATTCACCTCTGGAAGTTTTATATCTAAAACATATAGTTAGTTATTTATCTAAATAATATTTAAACGCTAAAGTTAATTTTTATGTTTCTTTCAAATATTAATTTGAAAATAAACTAGAAGGATGGCAATAATTATCAAGAAATTCATTATCCTGGCAATTTCACAACATTAAAATTCCACTCCGAATTCAGCTGCCTCTGAAAATCAAATGCAAAAGTAAATAAACCAAAGCTCAGATCAGAGCTTCTTTGGAGTATTGATCTCATGTATGGAGCTCTAAAGCTGCTGGATTCCATTCAGAAAAGAGCCATCCGCTTGATTGGAGATGTGAACATCACTTGCAATCTTGATAATCTGGAACATCAAAGAAAGGTTGGGGATTTATCTCTCTTCTATAGATACTTTCATGGAAAGTGGTCAAGTGAAGGCACATTTTATTCCACCAAGAGCGGTACTTATTAGAAATACGCGACGGATTGTGGCTGCTCATCGTTTTGAGGTTCAACCTCGAAGTTCACTGTTTAAGAACTCTTTCATTTGGAGAACTGCTTTATGTGGAATAAACTTCCTGACACCGTTTTTCCAAATGGAATCCAGTGATTCAAATCCAATGTGAATCGCTACTTTCATACAGGCACCGATCTTAAAGCACTTTCAGGATTTTCCTGTAGCGCTGGTAATTTGTCCTGAGAAAAAAAAAGTGAAAGCCTGAGGTGCATCTTTTTAGGAAGCCAGCCATTTTGAGAGACTAATCAACAGTGGCTGATATGTAGGGCTGAAACGAAAGAGAGTTGCCTAGAAGTAAACCCAAGTCTTTTAATTCCGTAACATTATTGAGTGGGACTTGATTTATAGAATAGGAGAATGTTAAAGAAATATATTTTCGACTTAAAATTGTGATATGGCATTCACGAGTATTTACTTCCATAGTCATAGTGGTATCTTTCCGGACCTAAAACAATCAAAATGTATACCAATATTTAAAAATAAAGGTTCCGAACATGATGCTACAAACTATTGGGCTATTTGTGTTCAGAGTCAAATTTCCAAAGCGTTTGAAGCTGCCTACTCTGTCCGGCTGATCTCCTACCTTGAACATTACAAAATCATCTCCAATAACCAAAACTGATTCAGGAAAGCTAAATCAACTTCAACGGCTATTGAACAAGCTCTGGATTTTATCTATGAACAGCTTAATAACAAGAAGAATGTGCTAGGTATATTCTATGATTTAACTCGTGCATTTGATATGGGTAACCACAACTTACTTTTTCGTAAATTATAGAGCATAGGAATTCGTGGTATACCACATGATTGGATAGTATCATATTCGACAAATCGTGCCCCAGGGGTCTATATTGGGACCAACTCTTTTTATAATATTTTCAAATGACATCTACGATACCTGTACCACACCAAATAGAATGATACTTTATGCTGATGACACAAATATACTCTTAGCCCATAAAACCTTGGGAAGTCTGGTAAACTTGGGTAATTATGCATGTGATGAATTCAGTAAATACTGTAGCGACAATGACCTTGTCTGCAATATAAAGAAAACTATGTTTATCAATTTTTTACCTAAGAACAGTACTTCGAATCCAGATCTATTGAACAACATCAATATGTGTGGTGAAACTCTGGAATACTGCCAGGTAGCTAGATTTTTAGGAATACTCCTGGATCAAAAGCTAACATGGGAGGCACATATCGACAGTTTATGTGTAAAGGTTGGTAGTGCAAACTATGCAATTCGGAATCTGCGAGACACTGTCTCTACAGAAGTTATAAAACTCATGTATCATGGACTGGTACAATCAAGAATACAGTATGGATTGATCTTCTGGGGTAACTCTGCATATACTGACCGCATTTTTAAGGTTCAGAAAAGAGTCATTTGCTGTATGGACAAGTCTTGTCCACTGGACTCTTGTAAACCACTGTTTAAAAAATTCAATATCCTACCATTGCCGTGCTTATACATATTACAGCTAGTGTTATTTATCTATGATAATAAACACCTATATCCAAAAAACTCTGATATACATAATTACGCTACTCGGGGTGAACATACTTTATACCACCCCTACCCTCGATTGAGTGTGAGTCAAAATTCCCCAAAATACTTGGGTATTAAATGTTTCAATAAAATAACAACTTTTATAGGGATCAATAAAAGTAGAACTGTAATGAGGAATGAACTATATGATTTCTTGTTGGATAACTGCTTCTACAGTATGGATGAATTTCTTGCTTTTAGTGCTTAGATAAATGACCTAGTTTATTTTATACATGTAGTCTTCTCTTTTAAGTTTGTTCAAGATCAAACATTTTTGTTTTGCTTTTAGCGTTTTACTTTTGACTAGTCCAATAAGTTTTCTCACGTATTTAGTCTTGTAATTATGTATGTGTGAAAATTTTAGTGATGAATAAAACTATTTCTATTTCTATACCATTGACAAAAACACCAAGGAGAAAGTTGGTTCAGTTTGCTCTGGAATTCAACACAGTCGCCTCGTGAATCGATTTTCTTGTAAACTTTTATATCATCTGCGAAGCTTAGGAGTTCTGCATTGGAAAATCAGTGCCGAATGTCGACCATAAAACATTCAACAGCAATGGTCCCAAATGGGATCCTTGGGCCACACCGGACGTTACTTAACTTCCAAAATCATTGGAAAGTGAAAGTGTCAGATATAAATAGAGATCGGTCTTGGAGTTAATAATTAGCTTTCATCATCATCGTGTTAGGAATCACACGTTAAAACGTAGGACCTCGTTAGTCCTTAGCTCACACAAGTTTCGACTTCTGAGGGTGGTCGTTCGTAGGGATGCGACAGCTGGTAACCGTAAAAAAACATTTCAACATTTTTTTTAATATATCTCCTGAAGACGCAAACTTGTTTGGTGCAGTTCTTGTTTTGGAATCTTTACAAATATTATCACAAATCTACATCAAATATCTTTCTTCAGGAAAATTTTTAACCTTTTATCAGCTGTTAACTATAAAGTAATTTTGAAAATTCTTCCAAATGTCAGTTTTACTTTTTTATTGTAGTAGTTATTACAATTAGAAATGTGTCTAACAAGTAAATACAGAATATATTTTCACACCACTAATTTTAGGTAATTTCAATGAACAACTCAAAATGAACAACTCAAAATTTTAATTTTTTTTATTATTCAATAAGTGCAAATCAGTACATTATTGTACATAATAACATGTCAAATTTCTCTTAAAATTATGTGAATGTTTTTGGACTAGATCAAGTAGGTACTCATACATTACTAAAATTAATATAATTTGTTGAGCTCCAATAGAAATCATCATCGATTAAAATTGATAGAAAAAAAAAGTGCTGAAGGGATACTGAGTATTTTTCAAGCACTCGATTATTCAGCTCCAATCATGAGTTTGAACTGTCAATTATCTATAATCGACTGATCAGTTTGAGCTGTCGATTATAGATAATCTACTGTTGAACTTTTGATAATACAATGAAGATATTGAAAAAAATTATAAAAAACATCAAAAGTTGAAGTATTTCAATTGTTTATACTAGTTAATTTTAAAATATGTTAAAGAAGTTTGAATAGCTGCATGAAGGTATCAAAAATTGTAGTACCAATGAATTTATTTGAACCATTTTTATTTGGCATAGTCAAGTTTTTCAAAGTTGGCACACAAGTTTGTAAATATGCCAAAAATTCTGAATACAAATTCATACTAATAAGTACATAACATGTAAAAAGTTAAGTGTTTATGTCAATTCAAGTTGACAATTACTAATTTTTAAAATCCAAATATTAGTGAATACCCAGAGTTTTATTTTTTACTACTAATTGGTCTTTACAATCATTTGTACCAACTGTTTTGACTTGTCATAAATGTACTGAATATCGTGATTAAAAAAATCAATCTATCTATAAATAATCAAACAAGAAAAAGACTGATACAGATCATTATTTCAACATATTGATTTTTGTACTGAAATTGTAGAGAAATATGTGTTAAAAATTTCAAGTAACAACCAAACACAGGTGAAATAATAAAAGAATGAAAATTACTGGAAAAAATTATGAAAAACTTTGTGTGATCACACCAAGTTATGATGGAGATTTATTGAATTTTTTCTGTTGGATTAATTCTATTGGCAAAACTGAAGAAACAAAAGCTCAAAGAGTTGTTTCAAAATACTGAACTATTTCAGTTGCACTCATCACAAGTTATCATATAAATAATTTTAAAATTAATAAATTCAATGCTCTCCATTGACATTCGAATACTGAACAGAAAAAACCAATTGGAATTCATATCTCCTAATCAATATTAGCATTCTCTGGCCTTGGTCAACAGCAAAGTACAACCAGTCTTGTACCTCTATCAGAAATTGAATAAATACATAATTGATAACTTTTTTGTTGAGATAATTTACAACCTTTGAACATTGATTTCAATAAACAACAAATGACAAACAATTATTATTAAGCCCACAATCATTCATGATTTATGAATTATTTGACTATTTCAAAATGTTTATAGTAGAAAACTTCAACTTCCAAATGAGGCAGAAATGAAAGTGCAAATAACTCTCCATTTTCAGTAATTCGTTCAAAAATAAAAAAATAAATAGGCATAGCGTATATGTAATCTATTCTATGATTCCCATATAGGTTCTGTTTGATATATACTCTAATTCAATATATGTTCCATAAATCTCATTGTAAGTGAACCATTTGATCAATATATACTTAAATCTACAGCAGAGACCAAAAGTCGATACTACCCAAAAACTTTTTCATTTCTCTTCTGACAGTGAATCACATCAGGATTTCCACACAACACAAAAAATCCTACGTATATCCAATTCAGGTCGAAATATCCTTGACATAAAATGATTGTCTATAAAATATCCCTCGGTAGACCTGTAGTGGACATCCATATGACATTAAATAAACAAAAAAAATGAATAGTTCATCTGAAGAGCTGCTTATATGAAGTTGAACGTTATTTAATTTTCAAAATAAAGATGAACAGCAATGACATTTAGATCTTTTTGCTTGTCTTGCTAAGATAATTCCTTGCACTTTTTGTTTTCTACTTCTTCAGACTACCAACAAAAAAAAAAGGGTATTTCAAGAATGTCCTTGAAGGATGATATATGGATGTCCCTGATGGATATCTCATAGACATACAGGTTAGTATTTTCTGGACATTTATATACATTTGGATGTCCATTGTTTATACATTATTTGGCAAATAGCTGTCAAATGGGTATCCTGCAGATGTTCATAATCTAAAGCTAATATGCTCCAAGTTGGTATTTGTTGAGAATTCATAGAAATAAAATATTTTTCAAACGACATTTAGTCCTTCCTACTGTAGATTGAACAGTTTCTAAAAATAGTTTTTAGACTCAGTATTTCATAGCAAGTCTACTTCGCTATACACTATCACCAATCTGAATACCTTAAACATATATTTACATAATTTATAGAATCACTTGATAAAAATCACCATTTCCATGCCAACCTAACAGCAGGATGACTTTGCTGCCTCGGCTTCAACTAAATTATAATCTAGACCATTAGGTCTGGCAAAACCTGTTTTAATACCATCCCAACCATCTTCTACTTTATATTCACCTGTTTGAATTCTGTTAAATACTTCTTGAGTGACACATTTGAAAGATTCCTCCACGTTCATGCCAGTCTTTGCGGATGTTTCCATGTGAAACAGACCATGCTGATCCGCAAACGCTTTCGCTTCCTCTTTCGACACTTCTCGTTGACCTCCATTGTTGACAAGGTCTACTTTGCAGCCCACAAGGGCAAAAACTGGACGATGGGGCTCAATGTGTCTTCTGGCCTCTGACATCCACACTGGTATGTGTTCGAAACTTGCCCTGTTACAAATATCATATACCAGGAGAGCACCGACCGAGTTTCTATAATATGACTTTGTTATGGACCGAAATCTCTCTTGTCCTGCCGTATCCCATAGTTGAAGTTTGATTCTAGTACCATCTTTCACTTCAATAAGCCTTGCGAAAAAGTCCACTCCTACGGTAGGATCTGAAAGCTAAACAATTTTTGAAATTGACGGTAAAAATAGAATTGTTTTCTTGCATACCTCAGCAAATTTTCCATCCGTGAAATATTTCAACAGAGAACTTTTTCCCACAGTACTGTCACCTATTAATATTAAGCGAAATTGGTAATCGAATATAGGTTCTACCATTTTAAAACATCACTTTTTTTGTTTTTATTTAAAAGATAATCTTCCACTACAAAAAGTACAAACTAATAAATTACATTTGCTTGTTATGACAAAAGAGTTCAAAATGACAAATGGCATAGAATAGAACTCGTGAGTTCTGAGACAATGACTGAAGCATAGAATAGGGTTGCCATCTGACATTTTATTTATGTACTAATCCAACTAAATTTTGATAAACAAGATATCTGACTTTTACAAAATGGTCAAATGTCAAAGTATTTTTTCGAAAATTGTGAATGTATGAATTAAGGGTGTTTTAATTCTGATATGTAATGTAAAGCATATGCATCAATGGCTGCTTCTATTGAAATTCCCCTTCGTGATACGGATGAAGTCAGCATTAAAGCTTATGGTTGATTATTGATTTATTTGACTTGTTTTTAGGTAATCGAACTGTATGCAGATCAATTGCCTGATGGAGATGAAGTTCTTGGGATTTTACGCCAAGAAAACACCCAATTATCAATATGGGTTAATCTTGCTGTGAGTCATCAACCTTTCACAAGTTTTATACTTCGACTTGACCCTTTAGAATCGACAAACTTCTAATTTGTCTGATAAGTTACTGGGTACACGTACTGTTGTTTATCAGTAACAAAGGTTTTATGCAACACATCTATTAAGTAAACCTGCCTGTCTTACAGGGTCAATATTATTGTGATCAATAAATTTCATTTGTAAGGAGTATATATTTATGGCAACAAAAGCGATGAATTCGATCTTTATTGTCAGTGTATCAATATATTTTGGTGGCGTCAATATCATTGATAGGCAGTTTGCAACTGCGCATTATGTCAGGAAAATGTCAAAATTCTTTTCATTCCATCAGTAGTTGATATTTCTTTCTGTATATCAACAAATACCGTTTTCCAAAATTTCTTTAACCGAGTTGCCAGTTAATGCAATTTGAGGACATGCAAGCGTGCAGATTTCCTAGCAGCTGATCCTAAGAAGTTTTTGCATAAAGTAATTTACCAAATCTAAAATCTCAACCTTAAGAATAAACTCAAAATTCATAAGAAATCATCCTCAGAAATAAAAAATAAAGTATATCTTGCAGTTTTCTTTCTCTAATTTGTTTCATTGTTCAACTCACAATACCATAACACACCATATGATGTTTATTGGCCCTTATCAGTAGTAGTACTGATCCTAAGACTTCGTAGATAAAACAAATATACAGCAAATACAAATGTGCAACAAATAAAATACAATAAAACTTATGTTGAAAGAAAAAATCAGAGTAGTATATGAGTTACAATTGTTCAGACCTTATAAGCTCTTCTAAACTTTTCAAAAATGAACAATAGTTTGGTAATTCAAGCACACTCAATGGCAATTCATTAAAAACTTCTACAGCTGGTGTAGAAATCATTTCTACCACTTGAGTTATACTCATAAAATTATTAGTTGAATATGAGTTTATTAATACAGTCATTTTTTACTTTATAAAAGGTTTCTAACATTAATTTTCCAATGGTTGTGAGTTTGATCCATTGTACAGAAGAAAGTGAAGTACCTTCCTAAAAGGTCAGCCAATCATGACAGTTCCATAAGCATATATAAAAGAGGTCCCAGGACTGATCCCTGAAGTATGCCACAGTTATTCGTTACACACCAATTCATTTTTGATTCATGATTAATTGTTCATTTCTGATGTAATCTAGATGTTCATTTTGGCCCCTTTAATGACTTGAAGTTCAACTATATAATTTTTTCACAAGTTCAAAAGGTATCTCATAATTACAATTTTCTGTTTTTTTTTACCTGAAAAGATTTATTGAGGTTATGCAGTAACTTATTGGGATAAACTTTCTACACCTATATAAAATTCTACATTGCCATTTTTAGATAAATTAAAAACTGACCACAAAAATGTACCTTAATAATAGATTTTCAAAACTTTTCATACATGCAAATGAATTTTGTTGTATTATTTTTTTTTTTTGTAGTTGGAGTACTATAAGCAGGAAAAGATTGAAGATTTCATCAAAATACTGGAAGCCTCCCGGGTAGATGCAAACAAAGACTACAGGGACTATGAGAAAGATCAAATGCGAGCCCTGGATATGCTTGCTGCATATTATGTGCAGGAAGCAAATAGGGAAAAAAACAAGGATAAAAAGAGGGAACTATTCACCAAAGCCACACTTCTCTATACCACAGCAGACAAAATCATAATGTATGATCAGGTGAGTTTCTTGTGGACCCTTTCAAAGCAGTACGTCTCACAACAATTCAACTTCATCCCAAAAAAGGTTCATCTGACGCTACAAGTCACTTGAGTAGTTTCACTGAATGGCCATTTTTGGCCAGTATGGATCAGTTCAAAATCAATTTCTGTACTACAGATATATCTGGTTCATCTTCAGTTGCCAGTTTCTTATTGATTGAAAATATATTTCTGAAGATACAACACACAAAACACTTTATACATCCAATGAATCTCACCAACTAATCCAATTGTTGAAACAAAAAAATCAATTAAAAAGTTAACTCCTTCTTCTGAAATAGTTTGACTATTTTCATTGGATTTTTAGTGTGGTGAATATATTAGTATATTAGAAAAGTTATTTGTGTTTACATAGTTTGGGCATATTTTTTTAGGTATGTTGTTCACCAACATATCCATCTTGTATCCATCACTCAAAAAGCCTAAAATTCTTCTCCTGTATTGTGAATTCATTAATTATTTTTTAGATTTGTAGATGGCTTTGTCAATGAGATGTTATTTTCAGACAATGAAGTATGCTTTGACTGATTGATGACTGAAATCATAATTACTTTTGAACTTTTCAGAATCACTTGCTGGGACGTGCTTACTTTTGTCTTCTGGAAGGAGATAAAATGGAGCAGGCAGACGCCCAGTTTAATTTTGTACTGAATCAGTCGCCAAATAACATACCATCACTGTTGGGAAAAGCGTGTATTGCCTATAATAAAAAAGATTACAGGGGAGCTTTGGCTTTTTACAAGAAAGCGCTGAGAATGAATCCTAACTGTCCTGCAGCTGTTCGATTAGGTAAATAAGTACCTTCTTAAACGAAGGTTATATATTTTTGTTTAATATTTTGCTGTATCTGTTTCATTTGCAGTCATATTAAAAATCTGTTTAAACCTTGCCATTGGATCATTAATTGCTCTACAAGAATATGATCATAGAATTTTTCTACATGATATCCTCAGCCTTCGGGTCTTACAGTATAATTAAAAGATAGAATTGGAACCTCTGGAGTAGAATGCATCAAAGACAAATACTCCACGCAAACATTAGATCAATCTGCAATACTCTTTTCTGCACATGTTTAGATGATAAAAATAATAATAATATGACGTTATTTATCATTTTTACAAAAACATTCAGCCAAAGAATAATACATAATTCATATGTATTATTCTTTGATCTAAGACTTTTTCATAAAGTTATAAATGGTGATATAAACTGTCCATTTGTAACACAAATGATTAACTTCAATGTAAATTCAAGAAGAACCAGACTGTCGGAGTTGTTTAAAGTTCCTTACCATTCTACTAGCTATGGCTAGAATGCTTAGGTTAGCAAATAAAAATAGCAGCTATATTGATTTATTTGACTCATCCTTGTACTATTTAAAAAAATCAGGTTAAACGTATTGACCTACGTAGAAGAAACTGTTAATTATTATTAATAATTAATTGATATTTGTTTCTTTTTTCTTTTTTGGCATTCTATATTATTATTCAGTTGTATATTTTTTCAATCACACTATTTATGTGTTCATTGTATAATGGCAAGTCCGTAAATAAATAAACCCAACTTCATATGGAGAGTTTATTTTTTTATCTCAGTTTTTAAAGAACAGCTTAGACGAATAGTCAGTTCCTACTGAATAGTATAGATGTTGAAGACATTTACAACAATATTAAGGATATTTTAGGCAAAATTGTTAATAAGATCGCACCCGTGAAAACAATAACATATGGCGTAAACGACCTACCTTGGTATGACGATAATATAAACAAATTAAGCAGAGAAAGAGATCGTGCATATAAAATCTTCAGAAGTATCTCTAATACAACCAACTGGAATAGTTATAAACAAAAACGTAACGCTGTTGTTAATTTGATAAAAAAAAAAATTGTTATTATTATAACCAAATAGACAGAAATATGCATAATCCACGTTTAATGTGGAAAATGCTAAAAAAATTAATAAACCCTAAACAAATTAATAATGATTTCTGCAATGGTGTGCAATTCGAAAAAAAATTGTCAGATTTTTTGTGTGAGAGATAAAAGAGAGATTTCTGAGCATTTTAATGAGTCTTTTGTCAATAGTATTGATGATATGGTGTCTAGTATTGAAGATGTTGAATTTTCTTGTAATATACAGTGGAGGGAAAAAAATTCAGTAATTTTAAATAGTATTTAAAATTACTGAATTTTATACATAAATATTACTGGAGTTTTTTCCCAACACCAAATCGTTATTTTTAACACCTCGACACGTGTTTCGATCACCAAGTGATCATCTTCAAGATGAAGATTAAACTAACGCGAAGCTAACGCTGTTTATGCTATACAGGTAAACCCTACAAGTGTACCACCCATACAGGTATACCACCCTAAATTAATTTTACAATTTTGCCTTATCTATTATTTTACAATATATGTTCAACTGTATTGAAAACAATTTTCAGCTATATAAAATTAATTTCACAATATTGCCTATCTAAATTTATTTTTTGCAATTTTAGATAGGCAATATTGTGAAATTAATTTTATATAGCTGAAAATTGTTTTATATACAGTTAAACATATAACGTAAAATAATAGATAAGGCAGAATTGTAAAATTAATTTAGGGTGGTATACCTGTATGGGTGGTACACCTGTAGGGTTTACCTGTATAGCATAAATAGCGTTAGCTTCGCGTTAGTTTCTAGTTTAATCTTTCTCTTGAAGATGATCACTTGGTGATTGAAACATGTGTCGAGGTGTTAAAAATAACAATTTGGTGTTGGGAAAAAAACTCCAGTAATATTCATTGCTACACCAAAGGTTCCAAACAGTGCATCATAAATCTATACATGAGTTGGGTATAATTATGAAAAATCTAGAAAATAAAGGAAGTCAAATTTATGAACTAAACAGTGAAGTTGTGAAAAATAGCTTTGATTTTATTGAGCATGTGTGGTGCCACTTCATGAATGTATCATTGGAAAATGGCACATTTCCTGATGAATAAAACACAAGCACTGTTACACCTATCAAAAAGGTTGCAAATACTAGTAAAAGTGGTGAGTTTAGACCAATCAATTCTTTGGCATTTGAAGAAAAGATATTAGAGTCAGTAGTTTATCAACAGTTATTAGAATATATTAACTCAAATAATTTGCTATTCATTAATCAGTCTGGCTTTAGATCAAAGCACTATCATGTGAATCAGCTATACAACTCACTATCACTAAATGGAAGGAAAAAATGAGTGCTCTATAGCAGTATCACTAGATCTAAAACGGGCTTTTGAAACAGTAAATAGAGAGATATTATTGAAAAAAACTGAATAAATATGGTATAGAGGGTAAGTATTCAATTGGATTAGAGGATACCTTACAAATAGAAAACAGACAAAAAAATTTGTGATGTAATGTCGTCAGCCATTACAGAAAATCATGGAGTTCCTCAGGGTAGTATTTTGGGCCCTCTATTGTTTTTAATGTATATTAATGACATGGAAAAATAAGTTGAATGTGACTACATTCATATATTCGCAGATGATACTCTGATATCAGTAAGTGATGGGAATATCGATAGAGCAGTGATCAAAATGAATGATGTGCTGAAAAATATGGATAAATATTTGAAAATGAATAAATTGAAGTTGAATGTAAGTAAAAGTAAGGCAATGATAAATACTACACTTTATAAATTTAAACAAATAAATAGTAGTAACATTAACATAGAAATAAACAATGAAAAAATTGAAATTGTAAAGGAATTTAAATATCTGGGATTTATGTTGGATAATCATTTATTATTTAGTAGCCACTTTGAATATATCAAAAAGAAAATCTTGAAAAAACTGTATTTCTTTTCTAGAGGGTCCCAAAACTGAAGTCTGAATTCCAGAATAACTGTGTATAAGACTATCATTCAACCTCATTTAGAATATTGCCCTACATTACTATACTGCTTTGATCTGAAAAAAATATCCCAATTACATATTATTGTAAAATAGGTATGTTAACTATTTTATTTTTTGTAAATTAAGATTGTCCTACTTAAATGAATAAATCAATCAGTCAAAGAATACTGAAATAAAGACAAAAGTGAAATAATACTGATAATAAAAGTAACTAAACAAGTATACAGATCAAATAATTCGCGTGAGACAACATTATGTGGGGATATCCCAAATAGAAATATATACATTGCGCTATAATATCATTGCTGTGCGTGAAACAAGCTTTTCAACCTCTTTTTGAAGTTTTTCAGTGGACTGTCCTTGTATTCCCTACTTGAGAAATTCAATTTTAGGTATGGGTCATTGTTTTATGAAGCTTGGCAACCAGGAAAAGGCCAGACTTGCATTTGAAAGGGCTCTGCAACTTGATCCAAAATGCGTTGGAGCTCTGGTGGGCATAGCAATTTTGAAACTGAATTTACAACAGCCGGATTCAATTAGAACAGGTGTTCAAATGTTATCCAAAGCGTATACCATTGACTCTTCAAATCCTATGGTTCTGAATCATTTGGCCAATCATTTTTTCTTCAAGAAGGTACGTCAAGGTAACAAATGATATTTATAGGTATTTGATAAAAAACTGTCAGCTTTATCTTGACAAAAATTTTTTTGTCATAATTCAGGTTGAGACGGATTGTTGAAGATAATTTAAACCTTGAAGATTTCTCAACACGAACAAGAATTCGAAGAATAACTTCAGTGATTTGTTTTTTAGGTATTAAGTTTAAATATGGGCTTTATATCTGATAGAAATCAATCTTGATTCACATTAGCGTTGAGAGGTTAATTTTCTTCAGAAGATGTTGAATATTCTGTATAGTTTGATTTTTACAATTTTTAAGGACCCTCGAAGACATTAACGAGAGAATAGAAAGATAAAGATATTGACCAGAAACCATGAGAAAGTACAAGAATAATCATGGGGACCAACTGTATACTTATGAGAGAGAAATGTATTTTAGTGTGTTTATTATAGACATGAGAAACTGATGAATAGTTTAAATAAATTGATTTAGCTCACGGAAAGCACAAAACAGCTGACAGAACTTTGTTATACCATCTGGCTTAGTTTCAAATATGTCCGGTAGATGTCGTATCTGGACAATGAACTTCCCAATATATCACTTTTCAGCCCACATGTCTTCCAACAAAATTCAAATAATTAGCAGTAACAATCTAATGAATAATTCATATACATGTTTACATATAAGTCATTATGGTGTTATATTTTTGGAAATAAAAAAGAGAAGCATATACAGTATACTATAAGATTTTACTAGGTATTTTATTCAACTCAGGAACAAGAGGTCATTCATGCCAATTATTTTAAAATAATTGCCAATAATTATTGTAAAACTGGTGAAGCACTTTACATTTCAGGTGTTCCACAATGTTCAGTTTTCTCTTTGTTGACAATATTAAACCTATAGGTGATCACTTTTCTTCTGCAGATTACTTTTCATTATTTTATTCTGCAAAAACTAAATTTAAATGACCTCAATTCAACAAACAATTAAGTAAATACAATTTAAATGATCTTCAAACAAAAAAATATGAACGATATCAAACTGTGTGTTAAAATTGAGTATACATTAATCGTGGTTGGATGGAAGAGCAATTTCTGCCTAGGTTTATTATGTGCAGATGTTGAAATCTGCCATGTATTAGGTTAGGTTAGGTTAGTATCTCTTGTACTGAGTAACCTTTCATTAAAAACATTTACTATTTCTTATTTTCATTATTATTAACAGAGTTGAGTAGCATAAATATTTGGGTATTTATAATGCTGTCATTCTCTACTGAAAGATAAAAGAAAATAAATTAACGTCTTACTGAACGCAGCTGTAGTAAAAAAGAAAAGTATAAGCCGATTTCAAATTCTTTAGAAATCTTTTATTTTGTTATTATCAAAAAGTTTTTCGCTTCCTAATGCCAGCATATGTTTTAATAAAAATTAATGATAACAAGGAATGTACTTTATTGTCCAAAGAGTCACTCTTATTGACAATTTGAATATAAAATTTTGAAGCATGTAAAACTTATTGAAAAAATCAAATATTCGTAGGATTATAACAAAGTGCAGCATCTGGCTCTACATGCATTTCATAATACCGAAAATGAGGCAATGCGTGCAGAAAGTTGTTATCAGTTGGCGAGGGCTTTTCACGTTCAAGGCGATTTTGATCAGGCCTTCCAGTACTATTATCAAGCAACTCAGTTCGCCCCTGCAGCATTTGTTTTACCACACTTTGGATTGGGGCAAATGTACATTTATAGGGGTGATACAGAAAATGTGAGTAGATCTTTCATTGTTAAAACGTACTCATCAGATCTCATTCATTTCGGTGGCGAATTTTTTAGGCAGCTCAATGTTTCGAGAAAGTGCTGAAAGTACAGCCTGGAAACTACGAGACAATGAAAATATTGGGTTCACTTTATGCCAACTCCTCGTCTCAATCAAAGCGCGATATAGCCAAAAATCACCTGAAGAAGGTGACCGAACAATTTCCGGACGACATTGAAGCTTGGATAGAACTAGCCCAAATTTTGGAACAGTCCGACTTACATGGATCTCTGAGTGCTTACGGTACTGCCATTCAGATTTTGAAGAAGGACGTACAGGCTGAAATCCCCACGGAAATCTTGAACAACGTCGGGGCCCTTCATTACAGGTAATCCTTCATTGCTTAGCAGGGTATAATTTCATTCTTATTGTCAATATATCTCTTGATAGTTTCCTTTGAGTTCTCTTTGTATTTATTTATTCAGTCATTCAGTTACTCGTGGGTTCAAAACCCATATCACTCATTACTTCAGCGAACAGGTTCGTTTTTACCTATAGAGCAAGAGTTGCGGTGCACACAGGCGTCAGGGGGTGCCAGAAGCCTCTCGCGACACATTTAGCCCCACCTGGTACGCCCGCGCGCAGCGGACGCCTACCCACCGCATGCAGCGGGCACCTCTCTACCGCATGTAGCGGGCGCCTCCATACCGCACGCAACGGGCTTCCTCTACACCGCACGCAGCGTGCTCATTCACACCGCATGCAGCGGGTTCCTCCACGCCGCAAGCAGCGGGCGCCTCCGCACCGCACGCATCGGCGTCTGCCCACCGCATGCAGCGAGCGCTTGCAATCTCAGGAAACGTGTGTAGCGGACGCACAGCACGCAGCGGGCGCCTTTCCACAACACGCAGCGGGCGCCTGCCCACCACACGCAGCGGGCGCCTGCCCACCACACGCAGCGGGCGCCTGCCCACCACACGCAGCGAGCGCTTTCCCACCACACGCAGCGAGCGCTTTCCCACCACACGCAGCGAGCGCTTTCCCACCACACGCGGCGGGCGTCTTCCCACCACACGCGGCGGGCATCTTCCCACCACACGCGGCGTGCGTCTTTCCACCACTCGCAGCGGGCGCCTTCCCACCACACGCAGCGAGCGCCTTCCCACCACACGCAGCGAGCGCTTTCCCACCACACGCAGTGGGTGCCTATCCACCACACGCGGCGGGCGTCTTCCCACCACACGCAGTGGGTGTCTTTCCACCACACGCAGCGGTCGCCTTCCCACCACACGCGGCGGACGGAGTGGTGTGTTATATCGATTTGAATGAAAGTTCAAAAAACTAAAATTTGGTTATTCATAATAAAAAACCCAATATTTTATTTGATTTCATGCAAAATTAGTTTATTAGGAACGCAAATATCCCGAATTGAAGGATAACGCCCACTTTCACTCACTTTATCTTTCAGCGCGCAAAACGAAGATATAATTAGATGACGAGATTTGATGCAAAGACAGACAAGTATCTCTGTTTAAGAGTCGAACAGGTAACTTCGAGAACGCCTCACTGTTTTAATTCTGAGTTTTTTTTTTTCAGTGGAAGTAAGCTTATGTATTTTGTTTGTTGAAATACAGTAAAAGTAGTTTCCTTTGTAACTTCTATTTTTGGCGTTCCACTACGGTTTCTCTGTATATGAAAAAGAAAAAGGATATTACTGATTTCCAATTGGCTTATTTGATTATATTGGAAATATATGCAGCCAGCTCTGGAATAAATTGGACCCGTTTGGATGAGCGAACGACAACCATCAAAAAAAGTTGTAAAACCATCTGTTCGTTAGAACAAGTTTATTATTGTTCTATGAGGAGAAATTATTGATGCAGCCTCGATATTTTTTATAAATAAATAAAAATCAAACTACCTTTCCCATTTGTTCCCAATTACTGTTGTCATCGAGACGAAGAACTCTTGAGGCTACCAGACTATTTAGACAACAGGAGACATGAGGTTGCGTTACCACCCCAAGAGCCCGACGGACGCTCTGTGTAGGCAAATTCTGTCGTAAGGCAGAATAATTTAGCTCGCTGAGACGCCTACCAGTTCCCATAAGATTGTATCCTTGAGGAAAAAGTCATTGCACTTAGGTACTGCGGCTAAAAACGCACCTTATGGCTTTGGAGCCCAGACACAGGTCTTGCATAAAAAATCCAGGTTTGACAATAAATCACAAAAAAATCAGTTAGGCTGTGTTTCATCGCACTGGGTTTTTATATTTGATTCAAATGGCTATTAGTCAGGGATATGCGATAAAAATTTCTAGTACCGAATTCTTGAATAACGAGCAATATATTTGAGTTTTAGGCGATTTTCGTCTCAAAAACATCACAAAAGAAGTACTCAAAGTATACGTCTGATGATTTTATTTGTATTGTTTTGAGTTTTCCAAAAAAGCATGCAACTGTTTAGGACTCTACAACACTTGTGCTCGAATTTTCATACCGGCATTTAAATTTACTTCCAAATTAAGTTCCAAATAATGAATATTGACAAAAAACTGATGTGCATAACATGTTGCTAACGAAGAAGTAAATATGAATTGAAGACATCGATTTTTTAGTTTATTGTCCTAGATTGATACATTTGGTATAGCCATAAAATTTGCAAACGGAACAACTTTTTCAAATGACTTTCTAATTTCTGTGAAACAATAACGTTTTTGAAATTTTTTCGAAAAAAATAACAATTTTGACAGGTACTAACTAACAGTTAGTGACATAACAGTAAAGGTCCCAAAATGGAACCTTGTGGAACTCCATGCCCATTTTCTTTTTCTGCAGGATAAAGGTAATGGTCATGGCAAGTCTCAGAAGGTAGATCCCGCAATCTGTGTGTTTTATCAACACAGACTTATTTACATTTCACTATCTTCTCTCAAAATTGAAATTGTTTCAAGGTTGGGTAATCTAGAGGATGCCAAGAAGAATTTAGAAGAGGCCCTTGGGCGGGCCACTTTGGAAGCCGAGCACGATGCTCAGTACTACAATTCCATTTCTGTCACCATAACCTACAACCTGGCTAGACTGAACGAAGCACTCTGCTTATTCGATAAATCTGAAAAGTTGTACAAGGATATTCTCAAAGAACACCCCAATTACGTGGATTGCTATTTGAGATTGGGATGTATGGCGAGGGACAAAGGGCATATCTATGAAGCTTCCGATATGTTTAAAGAAGCCCTTAAGGTCAATACCGAACATCCTGATGCGTGGTCGTTGCTGGGAAACCTTCATTTAGCTAAAGCAGAGTGGGGTCCAGGACAAAAAAAATATGAACGAATACTAAAGGTAATGAAACTATATATTATTTCATTGACTTTACGCTGTGAAAGAAGCTCAAGATTACTTTATTGCAGTGTACGAGTTCAACAAAATTTCACCTATTTTGTTCTCAACTGCTTGCCAATGAACTATCGTTAATTATCGTGTTCGCTGTCACTGCCAAAAAGCTTATTTTCTTGTGTTGTCTGATATATTGTTGTCTGATCCAGATAGAAATATCAGCTTTTTTTACACGCTTTTATTAGCTTCACCTGTATGTATGTATGTATGATTGTAACTCTACATTTGAAAAAAGTATTTTTTTTATTAACACGCGCGCCTGCCGCCTTCCTTGGGCTTGGTAGCTGATTTTCAGGCTCCCTTCCCGGAATCGGAAAATATCAATGGTCATTTTTATAAACAATATACGGCTGATTGATCCCAAAGTTTAGATAAAATTCATATAGTTTAAAAAAACTGATAAACACGCTTCTATAGCATACGAAAGTAAAAAATGAAAAATAAATAATCTAGTTCAGAAAACTAAAAAACACGCTTTTGAAGAACATCGAACTAAAAAGTTAAAAAATTTTTTTTTTTAAATAACGAACAAAAAATATTAGTATTATTGTGAAAAAAGCATGGGCGCTTTGTGCCATATAAACTAGAAGTTTACGTCTCACAACAAATATAGATACTGTGTGTTTATAAAATAAACGTCAAGTCTCATTACGTTTTTCCATCATATATTTTTTTAATAACTTTTTGAAAAGGTCAATAGAATCTATATCCTTCAATTCTGGGGTTAAATCATTGAAAGCTTTGAGTCCTTCAACAAAGACAGAATTTTGAGAAGTCTTTGTCCTTACTAGAAGTAAGTGAAAGCAATTTCTTGATCTTGTTTGTATATTCTATGGGTTGGGTATTGGTGCAATTCAAAATTTTAACTTATTTTATCAATTAAGTATTTAGGTGCCCGTCCTGTTTTGATTTTAAAAATGAAAATAAGTGTCTGGTATAACAGATAATCTTTAATTGCTAACCATCCTACCAGTAGGTATAAAATAGTGGAGCAATAGTTCAAATGGGGAAGTATAATACTATTGTATATCACCATTTTTGTCCATGCATCAAGGTATCTTGAACATCTGAATAAAAAGTTTACTTTAAAAGAAATAGTTTTTAATATATAATTTGCATGTTCTTTAAACGTTAGTCCATAGTCAACTGTAATACCCAAGTAATTGATTTTTTTCACTTGTTCGATTGGGTTCTCGCATAGTTTGATTTCCAAATTCTAGCTTGGCAGTGTTTTAATCTGGTTTTCTCTTGCAATGAACATACATTTTGTTTTATTTTCATTTATTTTAAGTAAATTACTGCAACACCATTCAAGAATACAATTTATTGTAGAGTTTATAGTTTCATTCAAAATTCCATGGTCTGTGGAAGAAAAATTGATGAGTATCATCTGCAAATAAGTGGATTTCACACATTCCAGCTTCTCCTACTGTATCATCTATATAAATAAGGAATAGTAAAGGGCCGAGAATACTACCTTGCGGCACCCCAAATTTATTTTCTATTTCGTCGGATTGTATGTTATTCAGAAGCAACTTGTGTTTTCTATCATCTAGATACTTTGCAAACCATTTCAATGCTTTACCCCCAATACTGATACTTTCCATCTTTAGCACTAATCTATTTCTATCCACAGTCTCAAAAGCCCTCTGTAGATCAAGGAATACTACACCTGTATTCTATACATTGATGCTGTTATTTTTTTTTTCAAAATTTTCAGTTTTTGCCTCTTCAGCTTATTACTATATGTGATTTTAGGCCAATTTTTCTCTATGAATTCAAATTGAACCGAAGCGCTGCAATAATAGTGTTAATGAACGCACTGTTTGTCGTTGGTTTGCAAAATTTCGTTCTGGTGATTTTAGCCCCGAAGTGGTCGATCTACAGTAATCTAGGACGAGGATTTGACAACCCTGGTGGAGACTGACCTATCACAAATGGTGCGTGGGATGGCGGAAGAACTGGGCGGCAGCTCCCATGTGGTTTTTAATAGTTTAAATCGTATTGGAGTAGTCTAAGAGCTCGAAAAATGGGTGCCCCCACGATTTGAACAATCAACAGAAATTGTCGCGTTTCGAGGTCCGTTCTTTGCTTTTGCGCAACCAAAACGATACTCGGATCTTCACGTATGATGAAAAATGGATCTTCTACGGCAACACAGGCCCAACCACCAAGAAAGACCATGGTTACTGTATGGTGATCACTATAACTTTCTACGACCCGGCCAAACCATTTCAGCAGAATCCTATTGTGAGGAAATCGACAAATACACTGAAAATTGCGTCAGCAGCAGCCGGCATTGGTCAACAGAAGAGGTCGAAGATCTGCGTCGAAGTTCTGCCTCATCCACCATACTCTCCAGAACTCTTCCCAACCTACCACCATCTTTTAAAGCAGTTATTGATTTCTCGTCAACAGAACCTTCACCAATCAGGATTAGGCAAAAACTTCCTTCGTGAACTTCATTGAATCCCAATTACACAATTTTTATGCAGACGGAATTAATCAACTTGTGTCAAGTTGGCAAAAGTACACTGAGATATCATAGTTCAGAGTAGACTCATAAAATCAGACGAAACTTTCAAAACAATGTAATATTTTAGAGAGTTGCAAATCACAAAAAGACTTGAAAGTTAGGTTAAGACATTAAATAACTATACTTGACTTATCTATAAATTTGAGACCAATCATTTTAGTATTTTTAAAGGATTTAGACCAGAAAAAGTAAAAATTTCAAATTGGTTTTCATGAAAACAAGAATGGAATATTATTAAGCATGTTCCTCTCTATTTTTCAAGGACATAGCGAAATAGGATATCCCCATTCAGTATGATCATTTGGCTATGTAGATATCTATAACATGAAAATTTGAATCAGAACAATTAAGCTAAAATATGACCAAGTTTTCTTATGTATTTGTATTTATGTATAATTGTAGAATCCTGCGACATCCCAAGACTCATACTCACTGATAGCTCTCGGTAATGTTTGGTTGCAAACTCTCCACCAGCCATCCAGAGATAAAGAGAGAGAGAAACGCCACCAAGAAAGGGCCCTCTCAATGTTCAAGCAGGTCTTGAAAATCGATCCCAAAAACATTTGGGCAGCTAATGGCATCGGAGCAGTTTTGGCACACAAAGGAACCATCAACGAAGCAAGAGATATATTCGCTCAGGTTAGAGAGGCAACGGCTGACTTTTGTGACGTTTGGTTGAATATCGCTCACGTATATGTCGAACAGAAACAGTTTGTCAGCGCTATTCAGATGGTGAGTTGAAACAATTAATTTCATTCATAATTTTTTGATTATTATTGATTCCTTTATTTAGCATAATCTAACTATCATTACGTTAATGTGAAAATATTCAAACAATGAACTACAAATATATACATTTATATGACTGGTTACAATCACAAATAATAAACTTCAACCACTCATATGAAATATCTACATTTAGGTGGGCAACAAAGGTAATACAAAGCAACAAACACAACACTTTAAAAACCTTGGAATAGTAATGAAGGTATTCAACTCAAGAAATAACAATAAAATCAAAATCACTCGCCCATTATGTGCATTTTCAACCTGCCTTTGAATTGACTCATCAAATTACAATCTTTGATACCATGATCTAAATTATTGAAAGCCAACATTCCTGCATGATAAATAGATTTTTCAATACACCTCTTGTTTTTGGTCCCTACATGGATATTTCGATTGATCCTGATATTATAATTATGATAATTTTCATTATATAGTGTGTCTCATTTCTCATGGAAACACCCCCGTATTTTCCATAATATTCGAGGTAGAACGATAAAACTCCCAGGACTGATGGAAATGCTCAAAATGCACCTACCACCTGAATGGGGTTGGCCAAAGTGATATACGCTGTCCGCCACTCGCGATGGAATACCCCATTTTTACGGTAAAACATATTAGGGGGCAAAATAGGCTCAAAATTCCTTCAGATTCGTGATCAGGACTACCAACTTACTACGATTACACATTTCTCCAGAAAAAAATTCAGTCCTGAAAAATCCGAATTTGTTTCACTTCTCATGGAAACACCCCCGTATCTTCCGTAATAATTGAAGTAGATTTTTTTTTTGGTTTTGATATCAAAACATGAACGAAATTGTTTAAGAGAAACTCAACTTTTGTTTTCACATAAATAATTTATTTTTTATTTTGTTGTCAGGAAAGTTATTCCTTCTCAATAAGAGAGAAAATGGTAATTTTGTAAGAGGAACGGAAACATGTAATCAGTGAGTTTTTAGGATGGTTAATGTTAGTTCATATTCTCATTTTCCCATTATTTAAAAAAAAAACAAGGATATTTCGTGGCGAAAAATGTTATGTAGTTCAAAATTCTTTTGAAGTACTACTTTTAAAATCACATTTTCAATTAAAAAACAAAACAATCAATTTCAAATGATTTAACTGTTGACAATTTTATATTTTCGTGCCTTCTATAAAATTTTCCTCCAATCAAACACATTTTTCTATGCGCCTTCTATTATTTCCTCCAACTCTTCTCAGTTCTCTACATGAAATTTCTCTACACGCTTGTATAATTTTTGCACGATCTTCCTTATTTCTTGGCCTATCCTAATAAACTTTATTTTTCAAGTTTCTCCATAAATAAAAATCCAGTGGAGTTAAATCTGGGGATCGTGGTGGCCATTCTACGAGAGGGCTATTGGGTCCTATCCATTTCATAGGTATTCAACCAAACCCTTGTTATGCCACTATTGTGAACTGGTGAACCATCTAACTGAGAAATCATGCCGTGTCTCACATCCAAAGGTAGTTCTTCCAACACATCGGAAAATGCATTTTCGAGAAAATCAACGAATAGTCGTCCGTTTAAATTTTGATCGAAAAAAAATGGCATAATATTTTCGTTCAGGATACCACACCACACATTAACTTTCTGAGATATTTGGTCTCTACAATTCACCACGCAATTTGGATTTTGTTCAGCCCAAAACCTCATGTTCTGGGAAGATACAACACCATTCGTGGTAAAGGTAGCTTGTGGGCTATTTTCAGTTACCGTGAGTCTGTGAACAGGGTAGTTGATATTTCTAGTCCTAGTTTGATTTTTGTGAGGGATGTAATTTATAATAAGCAGAGATTTATTTTTAAAAAATAACATTAAACATTCATGAATATAAATTGCATAAATGGTCAATATATTGTTTGATCGGCAAATACTTCTGCATGATTCCCTATATGGCATATTTAAGATTATTCTTAACGTTCTCTTCTGAATAATAAACACTTTTTCCGTATCAGAACTGCTTCCCCAAAACATGATGCCATATTTAGCAGCTGCTTCAAAATTGGCATGATACATAATTTTCATTGAACTGAAATTTAGAAATCTATTGAGAGTTCTCATGGCAAACACGACTGAATTTATTTTCATGCATAATTTTGTTATTTGCTCAGACCAGCCCAAATATTCATTAATGTAAACACCCAAGAATTTAGTACAAGGAGCTATCTCTCTCTTTCTATTTTTCATATTTATGCTTGATGGACGTTCTATCTGTATCTGTCTTGGACGAAACAGGATCGTATTAGTTTTTGATTCATTAAGAATCAATTTATTACTTTCAAACCAATGTTTGGTACCGCCAAATAGATTACTTGCATTCTGCATAAGATCAGGAAAATTATCACCCCCGCGTAAAAGGTTTGTGTCATCAGCATAATTTGTAATGAACTGATCTTCTTCAATACTGGTTGCACATAAATCATTCATGAAAATTATGAAAAATATTGGACCCATAATACTACCCTGTGGTATTCCGATATTTGATGATGATATTTCAGATTTATACATTTTTCCTTGATTCTTAATGCACACTCTTTGAGTTCGTTCTGTGAGATAAGATTTAGCCCATTTCAGAGTATTTCCTCTAACACCATATCTCTCTAGTTTAACCATCAACAGGTTTCTATCCAAACAATTTAGATAGCTTTATTAGAGATAGAATTTAGAACAAACCACAGGCATATGTTTCGGTCTAGCTGGGCTCTATATGTAAACACTTTCTTATACTTTGAAATATATTTTAGCACTTACATTAGTTTTTTCAAATAATTCAGAATTTTTATGTTTATGTCCAATACAATTGTGGTCTTGAATCCTTCAAGTGTATCTGAAAAAACACAACAAAACCAATTTAAAAGTTATTTCATCGATATGTTCAAAATAAAAGTTACTTTGTGTGCTAGTAGCAGTGCTTATTACGGTAACTTCTGTTACAGTATGAGAACTGCTTGAGAAAGTTCTACAAATATAACAATGTAGAAGTGCTTCAATATCTAGCTAGAGCCTACTTCAAAGCTGGCAAGTTGAAGGAAGCTAAGATGGTTCTGCTGAAAGCTCGTAGAGTTGCGCCTCAAGACACCATTCTTTTGTTCAATATAGCCCTGGTATTACAGAGACTCGCAACTGTCATTTTGAAAGACGATAAGTCGACTCTTCAAACGGTCTTGCAGGCCGTACATGAGCTTGGACTCTCATTGAAGTAAGAAAAAATAGTTGTAGCTTGTTTTATCGATGCTGCAGATGGATGAATCTAGTTGGATGGTGGATCATGCTTTTTGGTTTTAGGCTTTTCCATCTTTATACACACACAGATGTGAAGATCATGCACAAAAGTTTCTTAAGAATCAAACTGGAGAAAACCCATTCAAAACAACTACTTTCAGACGTAATTACCTTTATTAAAGGTAATTACGTTCTTCCTTTCTTTGGGAAGTTCCCACATTCTTTGCGTGAAGATGGAGAAGTAGAAAACCAAAAAGATTTTTCCCCAAAAATGAATCTAAACTCATTTTCTTTTCAATCTCATTGAAACGAATGAATCGAATGGGCTTGTCTCTCATTTATTGTTGATAGAGTGTGATAATCTTTTATACATTACCAACGAATAATTTTTTGCAGGTATTTTAGTTACCTTTCAGAAGTTGGCGACAAACTGAGGTACGACGTTACACTAGCAACCATGGAATCCAGGCAATGCAAAGACCTACTCTCTCAAGCCCAGTATCACGTTGCTAGAGCGAGAAGAGTAGACGAAGAGGAGAGGGTACTTAGAAGGAAACAGGATGAAGAACGTACGGCTTTCAAAATGCGACAAATGGAACACATGGTAAATACGTTGAAAGTCATGTTAGTCTCATTTTCAAGCACGAGATTTGAAGAATGTTGGCTAAAATAATTCTCTAGAAAAATCCGATGCTACAGAGCGTGGCTTTGTGTGACGTCACCAGATATATAAATCCATTATTCAGCATAACTAATGAGCATTGTCGGTATTGGGTATAATATCAACTTGAATAATTAATAAACATAACTGACAGTTCAAACGAATATGATCCCAGCATAAATGATATATTTTCAGTTTCCATTTGAACACATTCAATGTTTTACTTTCTGCGAGACTATGATCCAGATTATTAAAAGTAATCTTTCCCACATGATATATTAGGCAATATATATAAGGGTATCTGGGATCTGGAAAACCTGGAATAGTCCGGGAAAATGGAAGCCAAGGAATTTTCACTTGTTTCTGTGAATTTTAAATCTTTCTGTATCTATATACAGTATTTTACTTCATTATATCTGTAATCACATCAAAAACATTTCAATTTGTAAGTAACTGTAATTCTCAGTTATTTTTTCATCTGGCAATATTCTATTCGGTTATAAATATGGCAACAACGAATAAAATGTATTGAAGGGGGTCGATTCCACGAGGAAGTTTCATTCTTGCGTTATGTGCTTGTATTAGACAAATTTTTAAGCATTTATTAAATTTTCAAAGAATCTTCAAACGGATCATCCGATTTTTACATGTGTAACCAGTGGCAATACATTTTCAAAGAAATTTTATGCAACAAGATAGATAGAACATGCCTCTGCCACAAAGATGACAATGGAAATGATCAACAGTAATAAGATGTTTCAATACATTAAAACAAATTTACCTTGTACTATGTCTGTATCTTCATAACACGAATCAAAATAAATCTGATGACTGGAATTCGAAACATTCACCTTCCTCAACGATCCTACACAGAAGGATATGGCGAAGATCTGCCGGAAAACAACTACTTCCCTGGCTAATACCACAACGTGCATTGGATTATACCCATCAGATATTTGTGCCTCGCAGAGCAAATTCTAGCACGTTTAGTAGCCTGGACCTCATTGAAAATCAGTCAATGGAATACCAGACAGCACTGCTCTCTTGCACTGACGAGGAATATTACTTTGAAACCGATTTTCAGCGAAATCCTGCTGCTGGACAGACGAGAAACATTTGCAAGTATTTACTTTGCGAGAAAACTTGCACTAATGATATAATTCAATGTGTATAATAATGAAAATTGGGAATGCTCAGGATACAAGATTTGTGGACCCAGTGAATACTCACCTCATGTTTCGAGGAGTGATCATTGGTTGGTGATGAATTCTCGCCTTTTTTAAAGGGTCGGAGCCTTGGACAAAGTGCCTGAACAGCAAACCCCTTTTCAATATAATAATAATTATGATACGTATTTATGTAAATCATTTCATTGAATATCAAATAGTCTTATTCATGCAAATCCAGCATTAGTAAATTACTTGAGTTTGCGTTAATAATATAATATTCCTGGAGTAAACACATTTTCATTGCATATATCTCGTGACGTCACACTAGCTGTAGACATGTTTTGCAAAATAGGCAGTTTCAGAATTGCATATCTTGATAACAATAAATACTTTTGATTTGAAATTATCGCCAAATATAACAAGGGGCAAAGTTAAGTTTCATTAACTGACTCTATTTTCTCTTGTTATATTTCTCTGCTTTCAGAAAAAAGTGGAAGAAGAGAAACGCGTGTCCCACGAACAGATGCTACAGAAACGTCAAGAGTACAAAGAGAAAACTAGAAATGCGGTTCTCTTCCTAGAGATTCCCCCGGAAAAGAAAAAAATGAAAGGGCGCAGGGAACCCCAGTATCTGTCAGATTCCGGTAGCGAACCAGAACGTCCACGTGGCGAGAGTTCTGAAAATAATGAAAGGAGCCGAAAGAGAAAGAGAAGCGGTGATCGCAAAAAGAAATCTTCAGGACGTGAAAAGAAAGAATCTTCTAAAGGAAAAAAAAAGGTCAAAGAAGCCAAGCCTAAAAACAAAGATGACGGTCTTAGTGCGAAGCAAAAGAGCAGAATTGTGTCCAAGGCAACAATATCTACCAGCGAAGACGATAGCGATGATAATAAACTAAAAATCGCTAGTGATGATAGTGACAGAGAGCGTCATAAGAAGAAGAGGAGAATATCATCAGGTTCAGACTCAAGCAGATCTAGAAGTCGGTCCAAATCAAACAGCAGATCAAGATCAAGGTCTAAGAGCGACTCACGGTCCAGATCTAGATCAAAGTCTGGAAGTAGATCAAGGTAAGGTTTTTAATTCCCACATCTTGAGCATTTTCAACTGATTTCTTTCAGGTCAAGATCCAAATCACATTCCAAGTCCAGAAGTAGATCTGGATCTGAATCCAGCAACACATCAAAATCTAAGAATGCACCTAAGAGATCTAAGTTAAGATCTAGATCAAGGAACACGTCTATCTCATCCAGAAAAGGTTCTAAATCAAGGTCTAGAAACAATTCAAGAACTAGGATTAAATTCAGATCAAAGTCAAGATCCAGATCTGTAGAGAGTGTGTCGAAATTCAGAAACAGGTCCAAGTCTAGGAGTAGATCAAATTCAAAGTCTGTATCTAGAAGTAGATCAAAGTCTAGATCTGCAAACAGACATAAATCAAAATCTCGATCCAGGAGCGGATCCAAATCGATATCTGTGTCTAAAAATAGATCAAAATCTAAGTCTGGATCCAGAAGTAGGTCCAAATCGAGGTCTAGAAGTAGATCAAAGTCCAAATCTAGACGTAGCTCAAAATCTAGATCTAAAAGTAGATCAAAGTCTAGATCTAGAAGTAGATCGAAGTCTAAATCAAAGTCTAGAAGCCTGTCTAAGTCAAAATCCAGGTCAAGGAGTCCATCTAAATCATTATCCAAAAGCAGATCAAGAAGTAGATCGCAATCTACCAGTGAAAAAGGTTCGCGAGCAGCTTCTCCTGATAAAAGTGGCTGAAATGTTCGTTACTGTTTTAATATTAAGCATAAGTAATTATGCTTTTATTCAGTTTTGTTGTTAGCAGTTATACATTGTTCTAGTTAGTAAGTGTTGAAGTAAAAGAGAAAATTTAAACTGATTGAAACCAAAGAAATAATGTTATTTCACGAATTTAAATTCCTAGTCGATATGTAGGTATTTTATTTTACCTTACATTCTGATACTTTTCGTTATTATTTTGTTGTTCATCAATTGATATTTTATTTATGTTTGATGATTATTTATAAATATGAATTTATCTTTCTGACTGTGTTATTGTTATTGAGAATGTGCTTAAGAAACGTTCCTTTTTTTTTCAGAAATATTCCTTTGAATATAGGGTTTATAGGGCATTTAAAGTGTTCCTCTTTTGATTTTCAACTGGATAAGACAGGTTTAATTTTGGAACTAGACTAGTTGTTCCTCCATTATTAATGCCATAATTTCCAGATGAACAATAAGTATCATGATTTCAATAAAAATTCTATTCAAAACTTGATGGATTATTTCAATTATATCTCATTTTCCAAAGGTTTAATTATACTGTGAATTCTCAGAAACACATTAAATTCTCAGGAATTTCGTATAAGCTTCAAATTGAGAAAGATTTTCATTTTTATGGCTCCTCATTTATTTCTCTACAGATAAAAAGATTTTGAGACCATAAGAGTCGAAATTATAACTAAAAATATTTTAATTGTCTGTATTCACAGATCTTCCACTGGCCAAATTGGTGTTCCAGCCCATTTTTTTTATCGTTTTGTGATATGGCATTGAAAAATACATATAGTTGAGTTATCCAACATAGTTTTTGAACTCAATGGATTTGTCAGGCAACCGCATAATTTACAACTGAAGTTTGGATCGCCATGTAATTTGAATCCACCACGGCTGTACAACGGCACACCATTAGTCATTAAAAAATTAAGGAAAAACGTCAAAGCCAGCCTTTTGAATGGCAAGTTCCGAGGTGAAAATATATTAATACCACGAATCTCCATTATACCTACAGATGTGCCAATTCATTTTGAATGTGTGCAATTTTCAATTAGATTGGCATTTGCGATGACTATTAATGAGTCGCAAGGTCAAACAATGTCTGTGGCTTGGATTTGAGACCACACCTTGTTTTTCATACGGATAATTATATGTGGCATGCTCTCAAGTGGGCCAACCATCCACTTTGTGGACGATTTTCGGGTCAGCTAGTTCTTCTATAGACTTTCATAAAAATAATCAGAATGTTGACGTCACACACGAAATAAAAATTGCAAGAAGAACCTACAAACATGATTATAAATGAAAAGAAAGAACTCTTTTCAAGTAACATAGAACAATAAGCAAATGAAACTACTCTGTCCTAAGCAACAGAGTGGTCCAAAACATTATAATGCATAGTACAGGTGATCTCCCAAACAAGGCTGCTTGTACAGAGTCGCATTAAGGAACCACCGATTTTTTTTTCAATAATATGCGGCTGCGTAAGAAAGCTTGTTTATTTTACTCAACAGATGCAGATGTGCGTGGTGATCATGCTTTATACACGCATCTATCTTTCTTTGGGTTGCTTCGTTTGTTGGATGGATATAGTTTAGGATCATTGGGCAGATTATCAGGCAGCTTCTCTTCAAAAACTCTTCGCAGGATGCTTGCTTTTCATCTGAGGAATTCAACGATTATTTTGTGAACTTGACAGTAATTTTTGAGGAAGTATGGTCAGGTAAAATTTTGGTTGTTGTTCGGGGATAGAGCGATTAGATTTTTGTATAAATCAAAATCGGTAATGTAATACAATATTATATTCGTACTAGTGTAAAATATTACAGAATTGTAACAGTATTGTTCACTATAACTACTTCAGAAGTGTGAATTATTAAAAGTAGAAAACCTACTGTGCTTCTTTCTTTTGAGGAAAGTATAAATTGTAGAAAATTCAAAATTTCATGATAACGATATATAAGTAGGCCTCTGTATTTAGATTTGTAGGTTTCCAGAATTGGGTGAAATATGAATTCAAAAAAACAATTTATCAATGGTAGAGAAAACTCTTGTAATCTGAAATATACAAAGAGTTGAGTAGCAAGTCACTTTATGAAGTACTGTAAATTTGGCACTATAATAATCTTACATGTGTGATATTTTAAGTTTCCTATATTGCTTTTAAATTTAAAAATTATGGCTCACATACTTGAAAAAACAAATACAGAAATTCAGATAGATGTGAATTAAAAATCTTTCCACTGCGCTTTTCTAACGCTTCATTCACACTTCAGCTCGTAGAGAAATTGAAATCGTTTCTCTGTATCACAGAAAACAAAAAATTCGTTGGGGAAACTTACATTAAAAGTCATCTACAAAATGCTTAGGCGCTAGTTGTATGAGTATTGAGTACATCGTGACTGCCATAAAACGAAGTGAAGGTTGTATTTGTACTGTGACTCAGGGGAAAGGTGTCATTGCTATTCAAGGTGCCGAACGCTGAAAGTATTTCATTTGGGGTGTGCTCCGGACTGTCGGTTATCATGTGTTCTGGAAGTTGGCACTCTGATCTAGAAAAATAGAAAACTTCATGTAGTTAGACACCTTATTGTTATGAAACTCATTACATAAAAGTTTATTGAACTACAAAGAAAATTAGACCGTATTTGTTTCGCAATTCTACAAAAAATTGTTGGGGAAGGAAGTTTTTGGCTTTCTACTTCTCCATATCTATACAAAAAAATATGGAAATCTTCCAAAGAGAGAAAGCTAATAATTTCAAAATAAAGTATAAAGGTGTGTAGATTATGTAAAGAAGTATATTTCAGACACAAACTGGATAAAAAGGCCCCCTACTTTCAACTGAACTTTGTGCAATTATAAAATTTGGTTTCAGAAAGCACATATTCGATTTTGTAGGGCAGAAAACTTTGGCAACATTTATTTTCAAGTTAGAACTTGGCAGATCTAGCCCTGTCTCTGAATATTGGATGCGCAGTAAATCAGCCGGTGGAGTGAGGCGAGGTCTTACTAACATTGAGGAACTCGTGTAGTCAACATCGTGTTAGTACAGTAAACGAAAAATCATTATGCGTGGATCAGAGATGACGCGCGGATCAGAGATGAAAAAAGTAGGAAATTGTGAGGAATTTGATTTAGCAATTTTACGCAGCTGCATAATTGATTACCATATCAAAGAGAAACTTATTCCTATGCGGACCTATAGAGAAAAATATCGACATATTATTTATATGGATGAAACATATATTCACGCTACAGATACACACCAAAAAGGTTGCAGTGATCATACCATGGATGAAGATGGTAATCTAGCCAGAATAATAATAATAATAATCTTTATTGAAATAGGTAATCCTAATCTACATTCACAAAGTATAATCTTATATATAATAATTAGCAGCTCCTTCGATAGTATTAATATATTTGTTTTGTTTTAAATTTAAACGTACACACTAGGTATTTACATTTCGAGTTATATTTTCCATTGTTTTGCTAAAAAAAAACCATTCAAGTAAAGCCAAATACCATAATAATCATATACAATCCTACATATGAACCAATAAGAATGCTATCCCAATATACACTTATAGCCCGAAAGAAAATACATATATTGATACCATTCACCTACAGCCAAATACCACAATAATCATATACAAACATACATATGAAACCAATAAGTTATGCTATCCCACTACCCACTATACACTCATATCCCGTAAGAAGATACATATATTAATACTCGTAATAATCAAAACACTACTTGATGAAAACCATATATCTACAGTAGGGGAAACATCATATTATTATGTTAAGACAATCAATCCTCGAAAATATATGAATTGTATCTATGTATATAGTGGTATGTTATTATCGATATTGCAAGCAATGTGTGTAAGATTATCTGCCTGCTGCCTTTCATAATCATTTCAAGTAATTATGCATTTAATTATCTATCAATTATCGTTTGTAAGTTCATCCATTTTCTCTTAATTCACTCATCTCTAATGAGAATGCACGAAAAAAAGAACTAGGGTTCCTGTCCCCTACTGATATATGTGTAGTTGTCAACACTTGCCGATTTATTTAGGCCAAAATTCTTCTCCCGATTGTACATTCTGATAAACGTTGGCAATGGACAGTAAGTCCACTCCCACTACTTTCATTCATAAATTCACAAAGTTCTCGTTGACCTCGAAACGAAGTGCGGAGCCAATTTCGTTCTTATACCATAGGCGTGCGCTCATATAATAATGTCTTTTTCACATCTACCATTTTCCAATCACTTAATAATAAAACAAACAAAAACAACAATAACCAAGTACGAAAACTAAAAACAACAGCGAATAAACTAAACACAATATCAATTTTCGACCGTTTATTATAACTAATCCGATGCCTACCGTCGAATCCTTCGATACTACAGCACTGAACGCATTGGATGAGAATCTCATCCTAAGAGCGGATGAAAGTCCCCGGCAACTCGGGTGGATCACATGGTAAGAGAGCCTACTGGTTATTATATTATTCTACTGTTCAGTAACCATCTCTCTTTATCGTTCACGCATCTGAGAAGCACAGCTAGATTTGCTAAGCTTTACTTACTTTTACCATTCACTGATAACCATATATAATATTTTGTGGTGAAAAATGTGTATCTGATAATTAAATGGGAAGTTACTTATTCATTGCAGAGTGATACCTTCAGTCACATGATTGGAAATATATTATGAAAATATTGTTTCTTACCTGGTGGAGTTGTTGAGTTCACCAGCTGAAGGCATATTTCGAGATGCCACCGGTGTATGCTTAATTGCATAAATGTATACTCCAGTCATCGCCAGGGTATATGATAAAAAATATAAGGCGTGAAACTAAAAAAAAAATATTTAGTAAAATACCAACTCCTATTTAACAGTGAGCGTTTACCTTATAGTTAAATAGTACTATTCCTACGATGAGAGTATAAAAATTTCCCGAGAGAAGTGACAAGTGCAAGGCTGTCGTGCCCATATTCAGTAAAAATACTGAAGAAAATGTACAAAACATGAATTGACATGCCGAAAAAGAACTTAACAGGGCGCTAGAATTCCTCCATGTCGAGGAGATCAGGGTTTGCTTTTCCAAAACCAACCTGAAATGAATTTTACACCTGTAAACTTGCATAGAGTTGGTCCTCAAATGCTTCAAACATTTTCATTATAAACCTGAATAAGCCCAGATTTTGTATAAAGGAACAAATGGTGTATATATGGAATACATTTCATCATTGAATATTCAATCAGCTGTGCTATTTACAATAACTGAGCATCAAAAAACTCAAATGAGGACCTGTATTTTCATCAAATGGACATGCCACCGCAAAAAATGAGATTGATGTTCGCAATTCGCCCAGCTTAAGACTACATTTCATAATAACATTCAATATTACACCCAGTTCATGGAACATATTACATAGTGCCCTCTAGTGTCGGGTAGAAACACTATTAGCGGGCTTGCTAGTTGTAGTTCTCAAGTGGATATGCGGAATCTTTGTATAGAGGCTGATTCATTTCTGACATCATTTGTTGAAAATCGTCTACAAAACATATTCATGCATGTTATGTGGTTCTTAATATAACATGCATTATATATTGTTCATCATAAACTTGTAAACAAAACATATTTTGAGTTGAGATCTATTGAAGTGGCTAATTTTGAAAAAAAGAGTCACCTGATACTAGATATCAAGTCTTCATATTGATATTAAATTATTTCACCTCTCTGCTTTTATACAGTGATTGTCTTTCCAGCATAAATGAGAAGAATCACTTTTGGATTGAACAAATCGAACTTTAGATAGAAAAACAAAATGATGTGAATATTTCAGGAACTGAACTTTTATTTTGGAAACCATATTTTTGATTAATTTTTGTGCTGTGGTATGGAAGTTTGCAAAAAAAGTGAAAAAAAAGTATTTCTGACTAGGCATAGAAGAAGAACTCTATCTGTATCATGGTTTTGTAACAAAAATAATACATTTTTAAATATGGTAAACCAAATATACTTTTACACTCGTTTGCAAATTGGACATACATATGAATTTAAAATGATCTAATGAATTAATCACAATATTGAATACAATACTGTATACAATATACAATATTGCATAGAAAATTCAGTATAAACATTAATTTTCCAGGTATATTCACAGAACGCTATCTAATATCTGAATTTCATAAAAAATCAAAACCCAAGCTGATTGATATAAAAAATGAATGGCTAAAATGAGGTTACATTGAGGCACTACTTATATAATTATATATCTTGTTGAAAAAAAATACTCACATTTGTAAACCACTCACGATACTACCAAAAAGACCAAGAAGTCCCAAATATTCAACAATATCTGTGTGTTTCACAGACAATTCCTGTAGCACAGTCACGATAGCAAACAATACTGCACCGCCAAGGCATAGCATGTCCCCTACTAACTGATTTGTACCTGAAATTAAAAAATAATCAAATGTTTTGAAATGTGTGGAAAAACCTGTTTTTGAGTAAATAATTAAGGTGAATTCTCATATAACACAAGACACACTGGGGAGACTGAAGTATTAGATCCATTTAGGTTTTTATGTCCATGAAACAATCAAAGACGTTCACTGCATACATTTTATAACATTTGGAAATGTTAATAATCAGTCTATATATTTTACTGGGTATCTTCTGAAATGTACCAAATATATACTTTTTAATATGTTTGGAAATGTGTTTTACGACATAACGTTGTATTTGAATGGGTTTATTTGAAATGCAACTCTTGCCTTGCTCCTTATCACGTTTATTACATAATCTTATGTTACTGCCTTCACTCACCAAAAGACTCACAGAGAATACAATCAAAAATGAAAAGGGGATTTTTCTTTGAAACCTCTCAAATATCAAATATTTCAATAAAACTTATCATTTCATTGCATAGAATACAATTTTTGTAATAATATACAGGGTTTCTTGAAATAATATGCAATATTTCAGAATTTTGGAGTTTTTCAAAATTCATCACCCTATATTTCGAAAACACTGCATTTCACAGAAAATTCCATCTAAAAAATAATGATGAATTTTCGAGAATATGTATTATCATATGGAAATCATTTTCATGAACACTCAGTGTAATAACTATAATAATTTTCTTACTGCATGTTTTTTTTGGAAAACTATATCAAAACTTTCATTTATTATGCATCCTGGGCCAAGAGCAGTATTTTCCCCATAAATTCCGTTTCAAGCAGATACAGTATAGAATAAAAACAAATATAAGTCCATTTCGTACATCTGAAAGACGTTCTTGTGCTATATGCGAATGTGACTCAACATTTTACTATATTTTACCATCAGTCTTTGAATCATTAATATTGGCCCAAACTAAGCACCCAACTCCCATCAGAGATACCGACACAGCTATGATGTGCACCATACGATAACGAACTCCAAGTACCAGACAACTCAACGCTAGTGCTACAGGAATAGCTACGCAGCCAAGTAGCTACAAAAACATAAAGACTATATTATGTGGATAAAACAAATAAAGTACAAACCTGTATACTCGTTAGTGTAGTGTACTGATGTGCTGTACTCATCAGAGTGTTAGCTTGTACATCTATAACACACAGCAGAAGATATCGCCAGCCTCTTGCTTTTATAATTGATATTAACCCCTTGTCACCTCTTCGAAATGCTAACCAGCTGGTATAAATGGCACAGAGAAACATGTAATGTGGGAACGACTGGCCTGTAGGTAAAACACTGGTTTTGGTTGAATTTATGTAATGGGATAGTGTATTCAGAGCACAGAGAACCAATGACAGAAACTGACCCAGAATTATGTTCTGCCAAACTCTCCTAAAACAAACAAAACATTCCAACTGGGGTTGTACAGACAAGTGTTTACAACTTACCATTTTCCTAGCTCTGATAGATTATTTCCTATTTTGTCGCAAAAATCAAGGGCATCTCCCATGGTTTATTGACCAAACCATTAAAATTTTAAATATTCAACTTCGAATTCAATGATACAGAAGGGCGGGGCACCCTTTAAAACTAACAAAACCACCCTTATTTTGAAAATTGTGCGCAAGTGATATTCTCATTTCCATATAGATTTCTGTATGAACTGTCCAAATGGTAGTGCCATCTGTGTTCGCGTAGAAAAAAACGGCTGCTGTGTTTGCAGCAGTTATAATATAATTCTATATACAAAGATAATATGTATTGTCGACATATTTCTATGCATCCTTATCAGCATTGATTGAAGAGAAATTCTCAACATTTTTAATGGAAATATAATGTATCATTTCCATTCAGTGTTTAATCGGAAATCAATAGTTTTGCGAAGCTTCAAACGTCAAAATCAAGGACAGCAGTTACTATTGTAAAAACTTTCATTTCGGAAGTTTTTTAAAGAACTGTTTCAACTTTTTAGTCCATTTATTTTACTGAAAATGACAAATGTGACAATAATAAATTGTTCTAAAACTCAAAATTTTTCTAAAACAAAGTATTCAGACCCTATTAACAATAAAGTTATATGAAATTAAAAGTTATAAACCAATATACCTATAACAACTATTTGAACAAACTATAATTGATGTTTTTTGAAAAATGGAAGGTTTGTTCAGCTATCGATCGTCAACACCCTTCAGACAAAAAAAAAGAACTTCTAAAGATGGAGAAGTAGATGCGATATGCAGATGAGGTGAGTACAAGAATTTATTGAGACTATAACTTGGTGTGTGAATGAGCTTACTATTCATTCAATAAGAACTCCACGTAGACGACAGTAAAATTATCAATTTATAACACCGAGAGATTGAATTTTCAATGGCACGACCAAAACCTTCTTAAAAATGAATGTATTGTTTTATGTTTATGGCAAAGCAAAACAGATATTTCTTGAGTGACCGAGATGCCATAGAGAACTATAAATTCAAGACAACAGCGCAAGAGTACAGCTTGTCAAATATATAGGAAGATGCTTGAGACTTGAGAATCATCACAACCTGCGCGTTTTCTAACGGTGTACGACGAAGAAAGAGGATGGAAACTAGCCCTCTTCCAAGAAGTACTACCTATGCTGTACCGCCAATATGTAATATATACTAGGTACATCAATCAGACCATATTGAATTAATCGAACATTCATTGAAAACCGGATCCCAATGTGGATTGCATGAATTTTGCATTGATCGGTTCTCAAGAATCTGTTGTAAGTTATATGTATGATAAAGATAAAAAAAAAAAGAATTCGTAGGCACAACATTCAAAAATAGCAAACGTGTTTCTGTTTATTGGTCTCATCAGCGCGGTGCAGCAAAGTGCCGATAAGATGGGCAACACCTGGGTAGTGAAAATAGAAAACATCACATTTGTACGGTGTCACCAACAGAAACCAACCGAACATTTATGGTTTCAGTTAGATTTGTAGCAATCATCTAACATGACCAAATAACCATGGTAGAGGCTATACCCGATTCAATTCCTTAACGTTATTCCTTAACTCGGCCAGTCGTCACTCAAGCTATTCTTTCGCTTATCCTAGATAACGGGCCTTTCATTAGGCACTTCCTATTTTTAAATTTAAATAAGACCAAATCGAAATATTGTATTCGTTTGAAAGACCTATTGATGCCATTATGTGTGGGACATAACATCGTTCAAATGTCCGCCACAACTTCTCTGGATGGAGCTCATCTGAAACGTCCAATTTTCCATGACTCTGTCTCAAAAATCAAATTTGACCGATGGCATGGGTTACGACTTGAGAAAACCCTCAAGAAAAAGTCTAATGGGGTCAAACCGCACTATCTCGGTGGCCAGTTCATATCAACTCCACGTGAGATGACAATGCCCTCAAATTATCCTGCAGAATATCCAATAAGTTGTGTGACACGTAGCGCCTTCCTGTTGATGTCCAGATCATCCAATTCAGGCCAAAAGAAGTTGGAAATCATCGACATGCAGTGCTCCCCATTGACAGTGATGGCCTGGCCAATGTTCTCAAAGAAATATGGGCCGATGACGCCGCCAACCAAAAATCCACACCATGCAGTGACTTTTTCGGGATGCATTGGACGCTCTTGGATCTCATGTGGTTTGCATCGTCCCAAATGCGACAATTTTGTTTGTTCACCTACCCATTCATCTAGGGTCAGTTGCCAACTGCTCCAGGCCCATTCTGCGAACACGCATCGTTTACTGTGGTCGTTCACTATCAGTTCCTGGGTCAATCGAATTTTCTACGGATACAGGCCCAAGTCTGCAAAAGGCTGACTTCTTGTGAGCGACGCCTCGACTGCTTCAGATTCTCCTGCACACTTTCATAGACAGCGGCGATATTTTCGGAAGATCTTGCGTTTCGTAGACGTACGGTTGTTGGTCGATCGTTTACTGAATCAGTGGACTCAAATTTATTCACCACATTCCGAACAGTCCTCTCGATAGGACGATTATGACGACAGTTGAATAGGCGAAGCGCGCGCGGTACAATGCCCGAACAGAAAATCTGTTTTGATAAAACAATTTTATTATTTGCACGTATTGTTGAATTCTATATCCGTTTATGGTGATTTGGCAAAACCGACTGACTACATGGCAACTAATTTGACAGAAGTAACTTCAACAAAATGGCCGTTACCGACTTTCATTGTTCGGAAGTTCCAATAGGGACTGGCGTTTTCAGTTATTCGACGTTTTGCTTCGACTTTGAAGCCATTTCAAAGAAGTTCTTACTACACTCAGGTAGTCTCACGCTGTAAAGGTTTTGTGACTTGAAGCCGGAGTCTCAATCTGACTACTTCCCAGGTCTCATCGCTCGTTGCTGCAAGAACCTACAACCAAGCGTCGACGCAAGACAGAATTATCAGTAAGGTTATTATTCGAACAACGCTCTTTCTGGTTCATTGATATTTGCTGGATGATCTTAGTCAGAACTATTCGTTATCACTGATGGGCTTCAATAATGAATGTATCTGTATCCTTTATTGTTTATCGAAATTCTACGCCTTAGTTCTTGACAAACTTATACAGAATGTTAATTTCTGAAATGCCATGAGTAAAGAATTGCCGAAAAATAAATGATTTTGACGACATTGAAAGATAGTTGTATACTTTTTATTTATATCCTCATGACAATACGACAATCATTCAACAAGGTAACAACGTACATATGAAAAAACTAGTACAAGTAACAAGATTGTTGGAATTGATGTCATGAAAAGATGAGAGAGAAAACACAGAGCAGTAATAATGACGAGACAAGAAAATAACGAAATTAACATAAATACTCCTGAAAATTTTGCAGTCCAATTCGACTTCTATTATGTACCCTGCATCCCCATAACTCGATTTCATCGAATAACGACCAGGTCAAAAAACCTTGAATAAGAGACGATTTTCCTTCTATTTCCTTAATCCGGCACCTATTGTTTTTTTACTAGTCAGTCGTTAGGCCATATAGATGCGTCGGGACGGTGAATAATAAGGGAAGGGGAGAACCACCGGCGCTCCACAATGGAGGGTGAGCGTCCCCACTTGCGACGCCGTCGTCGTGCTTACAGTTCGCGCCGAACACGCGTTCTTTAAACTTCCAACTCCGGGACTTTTCGAGAGAGCGCTCTACGTCGTTGAGAGTGTTTTGTTTTGGACGATGATTTGATTTCCTAATTGGATTTTCTAGTCTTTGACGGTTCCGCTTTGTGCTTACGGTGATTGTTTTGTTTTGACTCGCGTTCTTTATTGATGTGAACTTTGATTTGTTATGAAAAAAATTGAAACGATGGGAAGTGCGATTGCGACTGCTATTTTTTTTATATATTAAAAAAATTAATGAGATGTTTTTTTTTTGTATTTTTTTTAGAAGAATAATTGATATAATTGAAAACTCATCTGATACTGAAGATTCTGCCTGTTTTCTGAAGATGTATTGAAAAATTATGTGATGAATTTCAAAAATTATAAAATTGAATAGGATCACTTCAAGCTGTGAGTTTTATCTAGTTCTATATCCTAATATTCATCAACGAAAGGTAAAGAGTGTAGATCAAAAGTCTTTTTTGGAAAAAAGTGCTGTAAATTTCCCACAAAAAATTATTTTTTTTTAATTTTTCAATAGATTTTCATTATTCACCATTAAAAAAAGATCAGAAGAGCTTAAAAGTATGGTGTTGTTGATCACCAAGGTTACCTGTTGGAAATTAAATTTTCAAAACTCCTGAAAGTCAAAACTAAATTGTATTTCATATTGAAAAATCAGGATACCGCATACCAATAGATGTGTCAAACCATCGTGCAAATGCAAACAGGAATATCGAACCTATATACTCTATGACAAATGAACTTTTATTGACCTTTCTAGTTTATTGCACAATCTAAAAAACTAGGAATTGTAATGGAGAACTTTTTATAAGTGTAGAAATTGTAAACTGTCAGTTTACTTCTGATAAGTTACTTCACAAATACAATATATTCTAGGAACTTGCGATGTTACAATGTTCCATTTATGAGTTCATCATTCAAAATCTTTTTTTAATAATACAAATAACAACTCAACACTAAACTCCGATTGTGTGAATATCATTCTGTCACTTTCTTCGCTTTCGAATCACTTCGTGGTCCAATCAAACTCTTTTGCAGCTTGTCGCTCTGTCACATACATACCTACCACATTCGTACTTTCTTCTTCTTTATTTTCGTTTTGAACTTCTTGGATGCATGTGACGTTTTCATGTGATACTGTGATGCCCGATACTTTGTTCTTTGCCAGAGGCGTACGTATCAACCCCCAAAAATCATTTACTCATCAGTAAATGTCGACAGACAATGAAAAAATTTGAAAATTAGACGAATTTTGTGAAGGAAAAGTGCAAGAAATAGGTGATTCTAAATTCTCAAGACGGAGGCAGATTTTGGTCTCGAAAAATGTTAAGATAAATATTTGTAATCATTTTTTGATAGGCTAACTTATTTAATACAACAAGTTATTGATATCCTGCACATTTTTCTTTGTGAAAAATATACCTGATGAATACACGCTAAAAAAATTCCCATAGATTTTAAGTCACAGAACTTAAAAGATGAATTTTGATAAAAATGGATATCAAATCCCTAACAATTTTGATTTTATTGCTTTCGTATAGAAAGATGAGAAAAAAAAGACTTTATAGGGCTCCAAAGTTATCAATTTTGAAAAGTTTTTAACTATTTCCATTGAATCATTTTATTTCATTGTTGAACTCATGGTCGTAATAGTTCAGGTTATTAGTTTCTATGAATTTATGTACCTAACAATGTCAATATCTATATACTCACTTCTTACATCTTTCAATAAAGCGTCACTCGAAATTATTTTCATTTGAAATATCTCTGACATGGGGGTTATTGTGGGGAGGGAGTGGCTCACAAGGGGTTACCTTTGCCTTGAAAATATATCCCTTTGTATACTCAATTTATCGTTTTTCATGATTTTTCACAGTCTCAAATTTTTTATTCAGGGTTGTTCGTTTCGTTTATTTAAAGTCATAATCTTGTTGGATGTTTTATTCTTTGTTAGGAATCACACGTTAAAAGGTAAGACCTCGTTAGTCCTTAGCTCGCACAAGTTCTCAATTTTTGAGAGTTGTCATTCGTATGGGAGCGACAGCTGATTAACGGAAAAACAGATTTTGAACAGATTTTTTTTTTGATCATTTCGCTACGTGTTCAATCTTGCGTTCAATACTGATAGAAATGAACTTCATTATAAAAAATGAGACAATGGGTCTTTTCGATACACGCGAAAATAAAATTGATGGTATCAAATTTTTGTATACCATTTATAAGAATGATGGTGAATATTTTCGAAGAATTCAACATCGGATAAGAAAAAAACCCCAATTGGACTTGTTAATACTTTACAGTTCTTCACTATAAAATTCAGACTCAATCTAAAATCATTAGTTATTAGTAACGAAAGTCCAATTTCTTAATTATATCTTATGTAGCTTTGCCTCTGATCAACCATCACAAGGCAGCGTGGCCGAGCGGTCTAAGGCGCTGGTTTTAGGCACCAGTCCGAAAGGGCGTGGGTTCGAATCCCACCGCTGTCATACTTTTTTCTTTTTTAAATCTAACGCTAGAGCAACATTATTCTCAACTGAACCAGTAGAAAAATTTTACCATTGAATACTATTCTATTCAAGGTTGATTTTTCTCGAGTCCTAACTTTTTGTCAAATTATTTCAGAACTTTTTTTTTGTTGGGCATATATTTGAAAATCCAGTGTTTTTGTTCAATCCTCCATTAAAAATCTTGTAGAATCTACCAAATATATTAAAAAAATCCAAAGATACTTGAAAGGAGAGACGAATATTTAGGACAGAAACCCAAGGTTTTTCCTAAAACAACAATTCTTCAATTGAATATAGACCGTTAAGTTCCAAGAAAACAATTGATGACTTTAACATAGATAAAATGAAAAATATTTTCATTTTACACAACTTAACACTTTCTGCCCTTAAATCAACTTCGAAAAATGGATTGGTGTAAAACCAGCATTTTGATTGGGGTGAAAATTTTAATTGTAGTGGCAAAGTCTATCGGGGAGTGACTATAAAACAAGACGGTCTCAAAGTGAGAAAAAAATAAAAGAAAAAAGATGTTGGGTTAGCAGCTGCCACTCTGTACCCCCCCATCAATTTTCATCAATGCTAAATGTCATAAAAAAACAATTTACGATTTCTTCTCGCTCTTCGTAATTCTTATTCCACAATGTCACTGTCTCGGTCACTGCATACGGTTATTTTGTTCGGCTTCAGCACATTTGTATTTAATCACCGAAGTGGAAAAAACTGATATTTTTCTAGATCATTGTTGATAATACATAATCACATCGTGCTTTCATTAGAAGTTTGAAATGAAGGAGTTGAAGTTACCTATCTAAAAATGTCTACTTTAAAAATTTTAGATATCAATGCATTGGACTTTTATGAAATATTTTTCAATATACAGGGTACCGAGAAGAAGCGTGACGTATTACAGTCAAGTTTACTTTAATGAAATCATATAATTGCTTTCCGTATTCAGATTCTGTCAAAAAGGCAGGTACTTTTGAAAAATATTAGTACATAGGTAACTAGTCGTTCAGAAAAATTCCAAAAATAATGTCAAAAAATTTAAAAGAAGGGATTTTTAAGATTACGGTTTGTTGAGGAAACTAACTTGATAACGTAAAGACTGTTATTAGACACAAAAAGTCAAACTATTATTGAAAACCCCCACAGGGAAATAATCTACAAAAGAGTTTACATCGCCAACTAGATTTAGTTTATTATTCTGAAACATGAATCAATCGAAAATTATTTTAATCCTACCACAAAGCGATCGCGAATTATGGTATCCTCTATTTCGTTTTGGTCGTAATCTTACGTTTTTCCCCGTGGGTTGACCAATTTGACTACACTGAATAATCAAACTTAACTTTATTTCACTTTAAACACAACGAACACTTCAACTAAAACTTCAACTATTATTTGAATGTCTATCGCCTTACTGGGTCACTTCGCGTACCGCACTGTAACGTCCACTTGACTGTGTCGATATCCTCGTGGATATCGTAATCGAATGCCGTAGAAATGTTACCGAAGTTCCGGTGAAATCGTTAGCGTTATTCTCGCTGCTTCTAGAGTGGCGTGGAATCATCGTACATTCGCGCGCTATTAGCTACGTCACGTTTGGTTTATGGTTAGCAGTGGCGGCCGGCGTTATTTTCTTTCGGGCATAATTTACAACAGTTATTTACGTGATAAGTCCAAAAACACTGTGGATACCAACAGACTGAATCGAACATTTTTCTTTTTTGTAATTGACGAATAATCTGTTATGTTTCTAGTCAATTACAACAAAGAAGCTCTCAATATGTGTTTTGGAATCTGGTAATTTGACAAGCAAAATGTCTTCCTTGTCGTTTGTTAGATCAATTGACATTTTTTGTTAGTTCTTCCCGTCAACACGCAACGGCTGACTCAATTACTGTTGCTATTTGAAAATGAATTAGATTGAGTCGATAGCTTTATACCCTACAATCGTAATATTTTGTTGAAATTACCTTTAGCATTAGATA